GGATTTCGTGAAAGAAAAATTTTTGTGATTTCTCTTTATGATTTTTGTTGCGCCACAATCTGCTGGCTGCGCCACGAACCAAAAACAAATACTGCGCCTGACGTACCTTTATTATTAATTAATTTACATAATGTTCTTTTCACATTCTCATTAAATAGACTTGCGTAGACTTCAATTAATTTGATAGATTTTTCGTCTGAAACTTTTATTTTTCTAATAATGTCTTTTTCCAAATTAAATACGATTTACAAAAAGTCAATTAAAAGAAATCTTGGTTTTAAAAAAAATAATATAATACCAACAATTTCAGGTGGGAGTATTTGCTTTGTAAGCATTTTATCAAAGTTTACTTTTATTTGACAAGCAAATAAATAATTTTTTTATTTATTTAGAATAATAATATTTATCTTTTTATAATCATGAACACCATGCGTAGTTAGATGATGTGTGTACAGTATTATTATTAATTAATACAATCTACAGTATCTACAGTACATTGCTTAATAAAAATAAAAATAAAAAATTATTACAGTATACAAATTGTCATTCTTATTATGTAAAACAAATGAGATCAATGTAATATTCTTTCAACAACTATTAAATGGCACTACGATTTAATTAATAAAAGCTGTTCTATAAATGGTTGTCATTATAATTGGTATCATGTCCATAAATTATGTGAAAAGTGTAAAATGAAACTAAAAAATAATAGAAAAGACAATAAGATTATTAAAAAAACCAAGTCTTAATTTCGAAAATGTTCGGAATCAACTTACATAAATATGAGTTCAAAATAGATCTTGCATAATGCGAGTTCGAAAATCGAGCCCACATTTATGAAGTCTACGTCAAACTCGTGTTTTAAAACAAAACGCTTCTACTAAATTAGAAAAAAAATCGGAGAAAAGAGGCGCAATTTAGTTATTAATTTTCACCTCGTATATCGGGTTGCATACGTTTAGCAGGTTCCCAATCGTAGTTAAAAATGCGCTTTAGCGCTATGGGCATTCAAGTTTAATATGATGCTTATATTTTGGCTTATCATCCAAACTTGACTTGCGATAGAATACCTCCAATAAAAGTATTGTTGCTGATACAATATGGAGTTAAATAATTTTAAATTTATTTTATTTTATTTATTTATTTTTTTTTAAATTTAACCTTTATTAGTATTGCGGAAATTGCCGCCACAACATAGATGTAAAAAAATACATCACTAATAACAACAATAATACAAAACAACTACTAACTATTTCAACCCGCCAGCCTAATATCAAAAATGTTAGCAGTGAATCCTATGAGTCTAATCCCAGAATGGTGTTGCATGTGTATACGTTAACGCGTGTTAGACAATGAAAATAAGCCCAAAACTAAACTCGACCTCTGCCGTCATTTATTATCCACTAATCCAATAACTTTGTTTCTCGAAAATTTTTTACGTGAAATCACGTGACTTGAGAAATAAGATCTGTTAACGTCACTTTATCTATATCTAATTTCAAATGCAGTTGCCTAGGTCGGAAACATCTCTCCCCCACAATAATTTCGATATTCGTGAACTCCGCCTGATTTATTTATTTTTATAAAAATTTGATTGACCGTGAACTCCTCCTAACTCCTAATAAATCCCCCGACCGCCTTGTCCCAGGTTTCGGCTAAATCATTAACCGAATCTGTCAATCTTTTATTTTTAGCCGATTATTTTGTACCACATCAAATCACCTCATCTACCTCCATTACCATTTGGGAATCCAGTCACGTGCTAAAATTTTACGCTGACCGAACAACCGATGCAAAGAGCAAAAACCACGTACGTCTATTATGAAGGTCAGTATATTTCTTGTTTTTGTCGAATAATTTATCGCTTGTCTTGCTTTGTTTTCAGACGAGAGCCTTACCAACACGTAGCGTTTTTTGATCCATCTTTACTAGCCCAAGAAGTGAAAAAAAAATTTGTTTTCGCCAAAAACTTTGTGAAATAATAATAAAGGTCTAATAAAGGTTATATCAATAAGTAATTAAAGAAAGAATAAACAGTCGTTAATGTTGCCGTTCGTTAAAACGAACTTTTCTATAAACACTTTTTGAACTATTCCACCTTTTGTTCCGTCCTAAAATTTTTGGACATGATGATCGGCGGAAAGAGTTTTGTCAAGTTCATTCAATTTTAAATTTATATGTATTAATTATTATTAAATTTATTAAAGTGCTATGATACTTAACAAATTATCAATATTTTAAAAATATATATATCACTATATCGATATTTAATTTTAATTTCAACTATCAGAATTATTCGAAAGCCCAATTGTTTATCACGTATTAGTATATTTTTTAAATTGAGCTGCTTATTTTAACATCGATAGTGGATTAGTGGTACCGTTATCAATTGTTGATTTATCCTAGACCCCCGGTTCAGATTTCTTATTCTAGACCCCCGGGGTTCAGGTTTCTTATCCTAGACCCTCCTTAAATATGATTGGTTTGATCAGCCACCGAAATCCATTGGACAAGACTTATTTTTGCATAACATTTATCTTAGAAAATTTTCAAGACCAATGAAAGAGTAGTGTAAGAAAGAGAGTTTATTTCATGTGAAAAAAAAATGGTGGTAAATAAACAAATGAGGCTGATAATGATCAGCTGTGTCACAAGGTCTAGGATAAGAGGTCTGGACCCCCGGTCTACTAGGTTAAGTTTTCTCTTGTTGATTACTCCCACCGTCACAGATCGTTTTGCTGCGCGGTGAAATACCATATATTGTATCTCACGTGCCCTAAGCCACAAATCATGAAAATGTATCCATTTACCAAAAATTTAAATTTGGTTCAGTAATATACGACATTGAAAGTTGCCGATTGGAATAGACAACGTACTATAAAATTAACCTTAACTAAAAATCCAATTGTGAAAAAATGACTCCAAGTCTCATTTTCCTAGTACAGACCCATATGTAGTTTTTATTAATTGTAACATACAGTATTCCAATTTTAATGAAGTTATAAAGTATAAATGATATAAATAATTACTATGTATAATAAGATGAAATTTTTTTTGTTCGGCATTTATTTATTATGTATTATTTTTTGGCGTTTAATTCACCTTAATGGAATATTTACAATCGGAACAAATCCATTCTTTATCTTTCTCAATTACATCTGATATCAGAAACGCTCTGAACTACCCTATAAAAAGTATTATACTTAAAATATATTTAAAATATACTTAAAATATACTTAATTTAAAAATTGCAAAATACTTAAAATATATTTTTAATATATCTAAAATATACTTAAAATTATCTTAAAACATATGTCTAATATATTTAATTTTTGCCCATATACTTAAAATATATTTAAATTATATTTAAATTAAAATTTAAGTATATTATAAGACTATTATAAGTATATTTTTTATGTATTTAAAATATACTTAAAATATATTATAAAATATATTATAAGTATATTTTAAGTATGTAAAAAATATATCTATAATATACTTAAATTTTGATTTAAGTATAATTTAAGTATATTTTAAGTATTTTGGCAAAAATTAAATATATTAGAAATATATTTTAAGATAATTTTAAATACATTTTAAGTATATTATAAGTATTTCGCAATTTTTAAATTAAATATATTTTAAGTATAATTTAAATATATTTTAAAAAGTTTTTAATTATATTTTAAATATAAATACTTTTTATAGGGCTACAATTATTATTATGCTTAAAATTACAATAAATAAAGGGAATTGCTAACCGTCGCCTGGGCGATCATCGCCTGGGTTTTTTTTCAAATATGTCACATGATGTACAATATACAGTAAATCGGCTGATGGCTGATTTTTTAACTTTTGATCGGTTAAACTTAAAATTTTATTGCGAAGATGTTTTTTAAAAAAAATTTTTGCAAACACATTTATTCAAGATAAATCTTATTTTAAGGAAATTATATTTTTATTCACAAATATTAAAATTTAAGTCACACATTTACGATTTTAAAGAAAACAATCACCGTATTTATTTTTAATGAAGCAATACAAATAAAAAAAATCAATAACAATAACAATAAATAAAAAAGATAAGTAAATTACAATGATCAAGGAGAAAGATGCTAATAAAAAAAAAATGAAACAACAATGGAGTAATGGAAAGTAATGGAAGATGAAAAAGAGTAATGAGAAGTGATAGGAAACAAAAAGGAGAAGTAGGACATGATGAGAAATTAAAAGGAGTGATGGGAGGTAAAAAGGAAAAGAAGTGATGGGAAGATGAAGATGAGTGATGGAAGATGAAAAGAAGTGATGGAGACGATAAGGAGTGATGAGAGACAAAAAGAAGTGATGGGAGACGAAGAAGAGTGATTAAAGGTAAAAGGGGTGATGGGAGACGAAAAGATGTGATAGGAAGATGAAGAGAAGCGATGGGAGACGAAAAGAAGTGATGGGAGACGAAAAGGAGTGATGGGAGACGAAAATGAGCGATTGGAGACGAAAATGAGCGATGGGAAGATGAAGAGGAGTGATGGGAAGATGAAGAGGAGTAATGGGAGACGATAAGGAGTGATGAGGGACGAAAAGAAGTGATGGGAGGCGAAAAGAAGTGATGGAAGACGAAAATGAGCGATGGGAGACGAAAAGAAGAAGAAGTAATGGACAGATGGAGAGGAGTTGATGGAAAACGAAAAGGAGGGATGAGAGGCAAAAGGAAATGATGGGAAGTAAACAGGAGAGAAAAAGAGATAATAGAAAATGAAAAGTTGTAATAGAAAATAATGGACGACGAAAAGATGGAATAATGAGAAGTAATACAAAAAATAAAAAAATGATTATGATAGGAGGTTGGGTAATGATGAAACCAAGTAAAAAATAAAACCATAACAGATAAAGTAAAAAAAATTGAAGTTAGTAAGGAACGAAATATAAGATAGAAACGAAATAAAAAAAATAAATAAATAAAATAAAAAAAAATACCTTTATTAATTGTAGAACCGAAAGAACTAAAATATCTAAATAAAATCGTTGAAAACCGAAATATGAAACAGAAACAAAATAAAAATAATAAAAAAATAAAGAAATGAAACGTAAAGTGAAAAACAACTGAACCTTAATTACAGAACCGGAAGGACTAAAGGACCTAAAAATAATGAAATAGAGTAGTAAGAAACAAAGTGTAAGCAGAATGTAAGTTAGAAATAAAAATAAAAGAAAAGAAAAATACCTTGAGAACTGAGACACCGAAAAAACTGAAAAACGGAGATTCGATAAACAAATAAACATGACACGATCATGTGGCCAATCTGGCCAATCAAAAATATTAAATCTGTCACGTGATCGAGGTCCCAGGCGATAATCGCCCACGGTTAGCAATTTCCTAAAATAAAAATTAAATATTCTTACGTATTACATCATGGATAATATAGCAACACCAATTTTTAAAGGAGTTATCATAACTTTCTTAGTTATAGCAGTAGCATCTGATTTCCTTTGAAGCTAAAAATAAATATAAATATATAAATTAACGTTAACTTTGAAATATTGTTTTTGCAATAATCAATTAATGCTATTTACCTTCTTTTCTTATTGTCAATTTCATTTACGCTATTAGATCTGGCTAAACTTGATTCCACCACTATTCCAAATAAAAAGTCTATTTCTTCGTTTGCTAAACCTTTTCTTGGTACATTTATAATATCCACAATTAAAGCAGTAATTTGAACGAATAATAGGCCGACAATTACAATCATACATATTATAACACAAACACCATTCTGACCTTTGAATAACTACGGGTAAAATAATAGAAATAATAAATTAAAAGAGGAATTTAATGCTTGAAAATAAAAAGAGCTATACCTTTTTCAATTAAAATAATTTTGTCAACATAAGATTTCTCGAGTGTCAATTGACCTAAATAACATCAATTGTAAAAAAGAATATCCAGTTCTTTAAATTAATTCCTAGCATACCTTCGTCATGATTAATATTTTTGCTATTTCAAATTAAAATCTAAATCAACAATAAAGAATAAATGACTCGCAATGATAAAGGTAGAAATCACCCGTTTACTTACTTTCTTTATAAGCATCCATTTTGTCTAAATTAAAATATAGATAATTTTAAAATTTTTATTATTCAAAATAAAGGAACATACAATACCTTCGCCATTTTCATCGTGTCGAGATTTTGATCTAAATAAACTAAGTAGTATATAATAATGGCTCACAAAAACGGATTAGCCTTCATCGAAAATATCCGTATCAAATTAGCCGGTTGATCTAATTTATAATTAAAAGAGTAAGTGAGATAATTAAAAAAACATCTGAAGTATTAATTACAGTACCGTATTTGCTGTTAGTAAGCTCCACCAAAAATAAGCATACCTGGCCAGAATTATGGCTATTTTGGCTAGAATTATGAGGATCTTGGCCCAAGATCCTCATAATTCTAGGGATGGCAACGGTCGGTCATGGTTGGTCATCGGTCGGTCATAACCGGTCAAGAACCTTTGACCGACCGCCTGATCGACCGTTTGACCGACCGTTTGACCGACCATTTGACTGATTCTTATCAAAAATAGGGGGTCAGTTATCGGTCGGTCAAGAACCTAAACGTTTTTTATCAAAATGATTAAATGTTACGAACTGTGTTTTCTTATTGAAACACAAAGAAAAAAGCGGTTTTATTAAAAACAATTAAAAAAAAAAGTTGCAAAACTTTTTTTTTTAATAAAACACTTAAAATAAAAACGTTTTGCAACGTTTTTTAATTATTTTAATAGAAAACGGTGCGAAAATGTTTTTTTTAAAATATTTATAAAAAAATTAAACGTTTTCGCAAACGTCTTTAATTGTTTTAACAAAAAAACGCTGCAAAAACGTTTTTTAATAAATAATTTAATAAAAAAAAAAATTTCGCAACGTGTTTCTAATTGTTTTAATAGAAAACATTGCGAAACTGTTTTTTATTAAATATTTCATAAAAAAGAAATATTTTCGCAACGTTTTTAATAGAAAACGTTGCGAAAACGTTTTTTTATTAATAATTTAATAAAAAAAGAAACCGGACTGGTAATGAATTGGTAAATGGTCGGTTAAAGGATCGATCAAGCGGTCGGTCAAACCGATATCGGTCACTGTCATGACCGGTCATAACCGGTTAATGACCGTGACCGTTGCCATCCCTAATTAGCCCCAAAAGAAAAGAAATTGTTTACCCATGGAGGATAATATTCAAGCAAAAAAATTACTTGTGAAAGAGAATAACATTCAGCAGAAAATAAAAGATACTGTATTAAGATTTTATTAACAATTATGGAGTAATATTATACTGACTTTTATTTATTTATTTATTTATTTAAACATTTTAATAAATTAAAATATATATATCTAATATCATTATCTTGTATGGTATCTTAAGTGTTTATTAATTTATTTCTTGGAAATTATTATTAGGGTATTGCTAAACATTACCGGTGGTGAAATTATATGTAATGCCGGCCAGTATTTTATTAGATTTTTAATTCTGGTCGAAAGTACATCATGATGCTGGTACGGTGACCATCACCGCCGGTGAGCTTTAGCAATTTTCTTATTATATATATAATCAACAAAAAAATATAGTTAATATATAAAAATATATATAAGTACTATTTAATTTGAATATAAAATACATCATGTATTCTCTCAACTTATTGGTGAAAACATGTTATTGGAGGTATATTTAATTAAACCATCATCTTCTCTAATACAATTTTCTGTATCTTTAGCATCGAATATTAACCATTCAAGAGATACATTAGGTATTTGACGTTTTTGTTTTATACATTTTATGCATTGCCAACCAACAACTCCTAAAAAGCATAAAATATTCATTATAAGTATAGTAATCCAAAATCCTCCTCTAATTTCTAATCGTACTCCAGTTTCTCCTTTAATTAAAAGTTGGACTGGTATTTCTATACCTTTATCTGACAATAAGATTCGTCTAGCAATGACTCCAGAGGCAGTAATGCCACGTAATAATTCAACAAATTTAACTTTTACCAAATCCACATTATTTGTGCCAGGAGCTAAACATCCTCCAAAATTAACTGTGTCTTTGCATTGAGGTATCAGGATATGACCATCATATGATGCTAATGATTTATGCATAAAATCACCATATACTGGCTTTGGGCTAGAGTATTCCTCTCTTTTGTTATTGATTCCTCTAGTACCACAGGTATCACATCCTGCTGTTATATATTTAACATATTCGACATGTGTATTCATTACGCAGTAAATTTGCAAACCTTTTGTAGGACGACATATTTGTAAGTTTCCAGCTATATCAAAATTCCCGTCACATGATGAGTTGATAGGTAATATTTGTACAAAATTTAAGGTTATTCGAGTTGTTTCATTAAGATTATCTTGCTCAAGTTTAATAATTTCTCCCATCCATCGGTCCTCTAATCCAGAGTTAGCTTGTATGGATTGTATTAAATCAAATAACGGGGTTGGTGGTGGTATATCTAGATCATGAAAAGAATATGATCCTAGAATTGGATAAGTTTCAGGAGTATAGTACCACATAGTATTCAAACTAAAAGCTGGAATAATCTCGTCCTCAGTTTGTACCAACTTATAATTTGTATTTGTATTGTTATCGGTTGTTGCTACCATCACTATTCTTTCACCATCAACCAAATCTCCCCAGTGCATAGATAACTGCTTAGAAATACCATTTACCATCACATCTGAAGCACCTTGTAACCACTGAAATCTAAATTTAGATTGCAATAATGCTGGACATCCTCCGTCCTCACCCGCACACGGTTTTAAAGGATCAGCGTTAAATTTTTCACTTTTAATTGATAAAGAACCTGGTATTGTAGTTGTGCTTATTGCAAATCCAATAGCTAGTTCGAGTGTTCCAACTAAAGCAATCGTAAAAATAATAATTCTTAGTACTAGTGGAACTTTTCTCTCTGTTAATAATAGTTTAACCGCCCGTAACATTCCGGTATCTTGATTATTGGCTACTGCCATCAAAGCGCGTGGTTCAATTTTTATTTTGTTATATAATATTAGATAACTCATCACCCAATTAAATACATTACTAAATATCCGCATGATCAGATGTAATAATACGTAAGTTAACATCATTGGTAATTGTGTTATAAATGGGCTGCTAACTGGGAAAACTAGCTTTATACGTCCGACTCCAACTGCCGTAATAAATCCGGTTAGACATATTAAAATAATCAATCCAAAGTATGTCACAAAACTATTATAATATTTCTTGAAATATTTATCCATGATACTATTAAAATATCTCTTGATACTATTCATATTTAACAATTATCAAGATACGAGAAATATTTGAGGTTTAGTAAGAAGTTTCTTAATTCTCCTTTCAAAGAAATCTGAAACTTAACAATCATAGACATGTGAAAAAGGATGTATTTATATATAATTTAAAAAATCTAGATTTTATTATTTATAGTCATTCTTTAAAATATTTATATTTTGTCACGCGTTAAAATGGATTTATAAAGTATATTAAATGAATGACTTCTTTTGTCAAAATATTTTTCTGCGATTATCTCGCGATCTAATCAGTAAAATTCAGTGTGTGTTTTTACACGTATTTAAAGTTACAATATGCGGCAACGTGAGCACAAGTGAATTCTTCAATAGAATTCTTTTTCATCATTTTTTAAACATTTATTATAGAATTTCCAGAACTTTTACAATCATAGTGTATCACTGGAGTGGTCAACTGATAAAATCAATTGTGATCATTGTATTGAGATGTTGTACTACAAATTGACTTTTACCTATTAAAATTGATTGAACTTCCATAAATCGAAACTTTTCCATTATTTACATTGTATATTTCTGCAGAAACATTCCAAACGATAATCTCTTTCACATAACGCCTTTCTTTTTCTCTCCAATGATATTCCCGCTATGAGATAACCTTTTGTCTGTTTCTCTATAATAAAAAAAAAATCTTTCTTAAAAAGCGAGGTGTTACATTGTTTTTGATGTTATTGTGTATGTTTTTGACTATTTAGTATTACATAAAAACAAATAAGGCACAGTTTATAAGGCGTTCCCGACAATTAAAAAAGCACGAGAAATACAAGCTCAAAATTTAAAGAAAGAAAGATGATAATAAATTTATTACTTAATTATAAATATAAATAAAAGGTACCGGTATTTTCCGAAATTAATTTGATTGGTATCAAATTTACAAAAAAATCTGTAATATTGTGAGACTTTGATTTTATTAGTCCATTGACCACCCCCCAACGTATCACGCGCTTGTTTATATGCGAACCCGTTGTTCTGTCAACGTACTGTAGTTTCACAAAATTATGCCAAGACCTGTTTTGATTATCATTATCATTATAGTAAATTTCCGAAATTTTAGGTTTCACTCTATGAATTTCTAGGCGTTTTCCCATTAAATTTTCGAAACTTTAAAATTTAAATAACTCACAAACTATTAACATTTAAGTAATACTAAAAGTTTAACCAATTACAAGATAACTTTAAGAAACTTAAAATACCTCGTTTTTTGTAAAAATCTTGAAGAAAAATTTTTTTTCCCTATGAAGCTATGCTCAAAGGTATCAGGACTTGATAGTGAAACTATGTTGACAGAGTACCCCGTGACACATCATGGAATGCGGCACAGTGTGCACAGAATATATAGTAAAATAGTACTGTACGGTACTACAAATTTGGACAAACGTTCGGAAAAAATTTTTAATTTTTCCGTTACTCATCAGATGGTCTATTAAAAATAAATTTTGGTTCGTAGCATCATGTGATAGAACTTTCGAGAATGAAAATGTTACAATTACAAAATATTTGAGTAACATATATGGCTTCTAAATAATGTCTCTCCTGACTATCCATAAAATAAATAAATAAATAAATTTGAGTAACATAATTGATCTGATTAATTTATATACTTGTAACGTAATAATTTCAACGTTTTGTTTATTATATATTTGTCATAAATATCTCTTTTAATCTTTACTGCTTTGAAGAAGAAAATAATTGTAAATATGAATATTGATAATATACAGTATCACCGATGTTGAAGAATCCTGAATTTGAACAGGTTTATATAATTATTATGACTTTATAGAGCTGAATATTATTAAAGAAATAGAAATTTATAAGCTTATCTTCAAAGAATATAATTGATATATTTATATTTTTTAACATAAAATATTTTATTAAAAACAAACATGTACGTCTTGTACGAAAATTCAAAATTGTACGAGAATTCAAAGTCGTACGAAAATTTTTAAAGTATTCGTACGTACTAGTATAAAAAATTTATCTGTTAGAAACGTACGTACGAACAAAAAAGATTAACGTCCGTCCGAATTTGTATTACCGTACAGTACTACTTTAATTAATACCTATGTGCACATGTGCACATTGTAAATTTTCGTGTACACAGTGTATGATGAATTTACATTTAATACAGTATAAAGTTTCAATATAATTATAACTGAAGTTAATAAAATCTTATAATAATATAAAAATTTTTTTTTTAATCTTTTATAACGTTATCGTAGTGTTATCGTTATTTGTAAAAAATTAAATAACTTAGTTTAATATTAAATCTATTTTTATGAAAATACTATTTTAGATTCTTACTAAATAGATACTTTTTAATTGGGTATAATTTTGTTTAGATTAAATAATAAAATGCCAAAATATTGAATTTTTTTTTGAAAATTTTGCGTGCTCTAGGTATCTTAGTAGCGATGGTACTGTAGTTAAATTGTTTGATGGTGATGAGTAAATAGGTATTACCTGAATGGTTATGGTACGATCTACTCATTTGATATTTTGATTACGGTACGTCAAATTTACTGTAAGGCATAACCGGTTTTTTAATGATCATACCGTACCCACAACACTATTTGTATATATATTAATACTATCAATGTTGTAGGTACGGTACCATCCTATTTATTTTAAAAACGCACCTGCAACTTTAGTTATACAGTATAAACTTAAACAAATCGTAACATACATGTAATTTATTGTTAATTTATTTTATACTATGATATAAAAGATTTAAATATTTACTAAAATTTTTTTATTTTTTTTTTTTTAATCTTACATTTATTATACAATAACGCTCAAAATTAAAATGTTTTACAATTAATATTGTATTTATCTAATATATATCAAATATGCAAACATTACTAGTATCTAGAAAATAATTATGCTGTACATGCTAAAGAATAAATCTAAGCAAAAATGAATTAGTTATACTGTACTGTACATACTAAAAAATAAATCTAAGCAAATATCACTTATTATTATTACTCATCTTTTTTTTATTTGTATTTTAAATCAATTTCATATTGTTTGAGCTTTGGCTTTCTTTCTTCTAGTGAAACCTTCCGTTCTTCAATCGCATTAATTTCAGTTAGATTATTATCTTTTTCATCAATAATAATTTTTTTTTGATATGCAGGACTTTTCCTTATTAAGGGATTTTTTCGATCTTTTGGATGATTTTTCAACTAATAATTTTTTTTTTCCTTATAAAAAGTTTAATCAATTTAAACTTACATCATGAAATGCGGCTTTAGGATCTGTCCAATTTTCCACGTGGTACTGAAGTTACTGGATATTCAATTGGAGCTAAAGTGCGTCTAACATCTTTGATTAAAGTGTCTCTTGTAAATACAGATACTTCAGATTCTTCATCATCTTGATTTATTTCTTCAGTATCCACTGCCTAAATAAAAAAATTTGTTATTATAAAAAAATCATAAATTATTGGAAAATAAATTTTATTTCACATTTTTTTTTTACTTTTTTACTTACAAAAGAATCATATTCTAACGGTTCATCAAATTCTTCTAAATCAATAATATCTTCAGATAACGTAGACAATAATTATATATTTATATTTTATTGTTATAATAATAATAATAATAGTGAAGAAAAAATTAATAAAGTAGAGAAAGAAAAAAATTTTTCGATCAACAAACTCATTATATATAAAAAATTTGATGATAAATTATTGTGATTCGCAGGTACGAATTGAAAATGTGAATGGTACCTATACATAATTGATCGTACCTATAAATAATTGACCATACCTTAAATAATATCGTACCATAATTAAATACTATATACTGATTATACTCTGAGAAAATAATATAACATATATATATAATACCATGACAGAACAGTCGGCTCTCACTCATGATATAACGAATCATGTGACATTCAACCAATCAAATAGTAAACTCGTTATAATGAAGCAACCAATTAAATTCTTTAAAATTCTTCGTTATAGCTTTATAATGAATTGAGATGAAATTGACATAAGTACTTAGAAATTTACAAATTTCTCAAACCAACACAGCAAGAGCATTAAAGAAATCCAAAATCAAGTTCAAAAATCAAAAAACTCATCATGCTAATATTCTTTATCATGCTTGATGCGGAAGACAGAAAAATGTAATATTCTCTTGACGCTTAGGCATTTCTTACACCAGCCATTACCAGGCAGATGGACGTGATGGTATTCTCGTCTGCAGTTTCCACTATATGTATCTTAAATGTATAGAAAATTTAAGACCCTTTTATCTTTGAAAAACCCTAAGACTGCACGAAAGCAACAGGCCAGGTTTCAAAGTGCCTGTAGACGTATTTTCACACCAAAAAAAAGAACTCATCCACTTCAGAAAGGGTTCTTAAAGCCTTGACTTTTTTGGAAAAATTAATACAAGTGAAGAAATACTGTTTCCTCTTTTGGAATTCACAATTCATTAAAAAACCTATTAAACACCTGCGCTATAGAAAGACACCACTTTTTCCTATTGTGCAACATTACAATTTTCCCACACCAATTTTTTCATTTTCACCACCTAATAATGGCAAAAATCTCACCCATATTAATTCAAAACAACTTACTTCAGTTGCAACATCATCAACCAGGGCTGCATCTAGCACCACTATGACGGGCAATTTTCAGTCTCGTCACTTGTTACATCAATCAATACGACCAAAACTAACCAGTCCCATCCCATCACTTAAACACCACACCAACAGTCATGCCTGTCAGGTTCGACTACTCATTCATCAACATAAATTCACACCTCCTCCTGTCAAGAAGCAAAATTTCCTAAATTTTCTTATAATACCTGATGACTTATTACCCTTTGCTTCTGGTGGTCCTTTATGTACAGGGCCCGACAAAATCACATATTTGAATAAACTCAGAGAACTTAAACGCGCTCACGATCAAGCTGAGACACATACAACCATGAAATCCAATATCGTAGACCATTTTCATAAAGCATCATCAACTTTGGTTGAGTCCTTTAAGGAACTTGATAAGCTAAATACTGATACTGATTCACTTTCTGAGAATCAATCCGAGCTAACATTAAGAAAGGCACAGTTAGCAAAGACGTACAAAGAATTCAATTTGCCCTACTCTGACATAAACCAACCTCACTACGAATTGATTTTTCCAGTGGAACCTCCTCACTAAAACGTATAACTCTGTCTCCCAAGGACGCTTTCACCTCAGATACCGTATTTTGCGGTATATAAGCACCCCTTTTTTGCACTTGATGCCGGCCAAGATCCTCATAATTCTGGCAAAAATCGTCATAATTTTGGCTAGGGGTGCTTATTTTCGGGGGTGCTTACTTACCGCAAAATAAGGTATATAGACATACAATGAAACCCTGACCTCATCGCCTACTGGTTTTCTTTTTTTTTCTTTTTTGACTCCCCAGTGGAGCAATTTATTTTATACAATTAGTTCATAGAAATCTTTTTTTACATATTTTTAATGAGTCTTTTTTTTACTTGTAATACTTTTTTTTAGTCTACATCAAACTTTATTTCTTATTTTATAACTCATATTACATCCAAAACAATTTTGAATAGTGTTGAACCATTCCTTCAGGTTGAAAGAAAAATACGGATCATTTAAGTTTCCTTTTATTTAATTGTCTAGTTTTGCCTAGGATTCGGATGAATAATAGACTGGATGATTCCTCTCATGATACCTGGGGGATTGGACGAACTCGCATTAGTTTAGTTTTGTATTGTTATCTTTGTATTTCGTTCTACTAGCAGTTGCTTGTAGTCCTGGATCCATGTCTTCATAATAAAAAAAAAATTACCAAAAGAAAAGAAATTGTTTACCCATAGAGGATAATATTCAAGTGAAAGAATTAATTGAGAAAAAGAATAACATTCAGCAGAAATAAAGATACTGTACTAGTAAGTTCTTATTAATAATAATGGAGTAATATTATACTTCAGTTTATTTATTTTTTTGAATATTTTAATAATTAAAAATATACATATCTAATATCTTATGTGTCATCTTTATTATCTTGTATGATATCTTAAGAACACGATTTTTGTTTATTAATTTATTTGTCGGAAATTATTATTAGGGTATTGCTAAACATCACCGGTAATGAAATTATGATGTAATGCCGGCCAGTATCTTATTAGATTTTTAATTCTGGTCGAAAGTACATCATAATGCTGGTACGGTGACCATCACCGCCGGTAAGCTTTAGCAATTTTCTTATTATTAATATATACAGTATATAAATCAACAACACCCCAGTCGCGCCATCATAGCCTTTTATAAAAGGTAACCTGGGCTACCCAAGGTTCCCTTTTATAAAAGGCTATGATGGCGCGACTGGGGTGATCAACAACTACTAATTTTGTCATTTACTTTATTTATGTTACAATATTAGCGAAACGATGAAGCGTTATGTCTTATACTGCAGGACCAATTACATTTAACAAGTATACTAATTCATTATTTTATCAAGAATTATATAATTTGAACACAAAATATGGTTAATATACAAAAATATACATAATCAGTATATAATTTGAATATAAAATATAGCTAATATACAAAAATATACAGTCAGACCTCCATAATTGCACACCCCTTGGGACCATATGCATAATTTTCAAAATAGTGCATTTAAAGAGGGTGTGCATTTATAGAGGTAAAATAATTAGAGATCATATAAGCTTGGGACAGAACCAGAGGGTGCATTTAGAGAGGGTATACATAGTGGGTGCAATTATGGAGAGTGCAATTATGGAGGTCTGACTGTACATAAGTAGTATATAATTTATAATTTTAATATAAAATATAGCTAATATACAAAAATATACATAAGTAGTATATAATTTGAATATAAAGTATAGTTAATATACAAAAATATCATAAGTACTATTTAATTTGAATATAAAATACATCATATATTCTCTTAACTTGGTGAAAACATGTTATTGGAGGTATATCTAATTAAACCATCATCTTCTCTAATACAATTTTCTGTATCTTTAGCATTGAATATTAACCATTCAATAGATATTTTAGGAATTTGGCGACTTTGTCTTTGTTTTATACAATGCCAGCCAACTCCTAAAAAGCATAAAATATTCATTATAAGTATAGTAATCCAATATCCTCCTCCAATTTCTATTCTCACTCCAGTTTCTCCTTTAATTACAAGCTGGACTGGTATTTCTATACCTTTATCTGACAACAAGATTCGTCTAGCAATGACTCCAGAGGCAGTAATGCCACGTAATAATTCAACAAATTTATCTTTTACCAAATCCACATTATTTGTGTTTGGAGCTAAACATCCTCCAAAATTAACTGTGTCTTTGCATTGAGGCATCAGGATATGACCATCATATGATGCTAATGATTTATGCATAAATTCACCATATACTGGCTTTGGGCTAGAGTATTCCTCTCTTTTGTTACTGATTCCTCTAGTACCACAAATATCACATCCTGCTGTTATATATTCAACATATTCAACATGTGTATTCATTACGCAGTAAATTTGCAAACCATTTGTAGGACGACATATTTGTAAGTTTCCAGCTATATCAAAATTCCCGTCACATGATGAGTTGATAGGTAATATTTGTACAAAATTTAAGGTTATTCGAGTTGTTTCATTAAGATTATCTTGCTCAAGTTTAATAATTTCTCCCATCCATCGGTCCTCTAATCCAGAGTTAGCTTGTATGGATTGTATTAAATCAAATAACGGGGTTGGTGGTGGTATATTTAGATCACGAAAATAATTTGATCCTAGAATTGGATAAGTTTCAGGAGTATTGTAACATACAGTACTCAAACTAAAAGCTGGAATAATCTCTTTCTCAGTTTGTACCAACTTATAATTTATATTTGTATTGTTATCAGTTGTTGCTACCATCACTATTTTTTCACCATCAACCGAATCTCCCCAGTGCATAGATAACTGCTTAGAGATTCCATTTACCATCACATCTGAAGCACCTTGTAACCACTGAAATCTAAATTTAGATTGCAACAATGCTGGACAACCCCCGTCCCCATCCGCACATGGTTTTAAAGGGTCAGCGTTAAATTTTTCACTTTTAATTGATAAAGAACCTGGTATTGTAGTTGTGCTTATTGCAAATCCAATAGCTAGTTCGAGTGTTCCAACTAAAGCAATCATAAAAATAATAATTCTTAGTTTTAGTGGAACTTTTCTCTCTGTTAATAATAGTTTAACCGCCCGTAGCATACCGGTATCTTGATTATTGGCTACTGCCATTAAAGCGCGTGGTTCAATTTCTTCATTGTTACATAATATTAAATAACTCATCACCCAATTAAACACACTGCTAAATATCCGCATGACCAGATGTAATAATACGTAAGTTAATATCATTGGTACTGCTGTTATAAATGGACTACTAACTGAGTAAATTAGCTTTTCACGTCCGACTCCAACTAACGTAATAAATACGGTTAGAACTGTTAAAGTAAACAATCCAAAGTATGTCACAAAACAATTATAATATTTCTTGACATAGTTATCCATGATACTATTATAATATCTCTTGACATAATTATCCATGATACTATTATAATATCTCTTGACATAATTATCCATGATACTATTATAATATCTCTTGACATAGTTATCCATAATATTATTATAACATTCCTTGAAAAAGTTGAAAAGGCTAATCAAGTTACTAAAATTTTGATGTACCCCTAAATCGTTATTCATATTTAACAATTCTCAATACACGAAAAATAGTTGAGGTTTAGTAAGAAGTTTCTTAATTCTCCTTTCAAAGAAATCTGAAACTTAACAATCATGGACATATGAAAAGGATGTATATATATATATAATTTAAAAAATCTAAAATATTTTTACTTTGTTACGCGTTAAAATGGATTTATAAAGTATATTAAATGAATGGCTTCTTTTGCTTCTTTTGTCAAAATAATGGTGATTCTTTTGCTGCGATTATCTCGCGAACTAATCAGTAAATAAATCAGTGTGTGTTTGTGCTCACGTTTGACGCATATAGTAATTTTAAATACGTGTAAACAGAAACATACTGTCATACTGCATATTTAAATAGCAGCAGAGAATTCTTCAATCGAATTCTTTTGCATCATTTTTTAACCATTTATAGAATTATTCAGTACTTTTACAGGTAGTCAATGGACTGATAAAATCAATTATGATCATTGTGATCATTATATTGAGATGTTGTACTACAAATTGACTTTTATATGAAGTTACAAATTTGTTCTATAAATTTCCTAATTAGAAAGTAGAAGTGTAAACTTTCATAAATCGAAACTCTTCCTATTATTTGCATTATTTACATTGTAGGAACAATTCAAACAATAATCTCTTTCACATAACGCCTTTCCTTTTCTCTCCAATGATATTCCCGCTCTGAAATAACCTTTTAGCTGCTTCTCTATAATAAAAAAAAAAAATTTCTTAAAAAGCGAGGTGTTACATTGTTTTTAAAGTTATTATGTCTTACCGGCGGTATTTTCCGAAATTAATGTGTTAAATATTGATTGGTATCAAATTCACAAAAAAATCTGTAATAGTGTGAGACTTTGATTTTATTAGTCCATTGACCACCCAACGTATCACGCGCTTGTTTATATGCGAACCCGTTGTTCTGTCAACATAATGTAGTTTCACAAAACTATGTCAAATCCTATAGGCTATAGTAATTGACGATCATTATCATTATCGAAATTTTGGGTTTCACTTTATGAATTTTATTATTAAGTTACTAAATGATTGGCTTGTTTCGAAATTTGAGGCGTTTTCCCATTAAATTTTCACAACTTTAAAACTTTAAATAACTCACAAACTATTACCATTTATGTAATTCTAAAAAGTTTAACCAACTACATGATAACTTTAAAAAACTTAAAATACCTCGTTTTTTGTAAAAATCTTGAAGAAAAAATTTTTTTTATCTATGAAGCTACGCTCAAAGGTATCAATTTTTATTATAAAAATGTATTCTTTTTTATTTTTTAAAAAAAGCAAGATATTTTATAAAAAAGATAAGTATTTGGAACACCTTCATGAAATTTGAAACGAGAATAAGAGAAAGTTTCAATGTTATTTGGGTATAAAAAATGCACCTATTTAGTGAGAGATTTCTTATAGGCTGATTTAAATATAGTAGTACTACATAGTATAATACGGATTAAAAATTCCATAAATTTTATTATAGGACTTGATAGTTTTGTGAAACTATGTTGACGGATGTTAATTTGCTAAACCAGTTCAGTTTAAGTTCGGCTCAATACAGCTTTAAGCTTAAGCTTTTTTGAGAAAATAAGCTTCCAAGCGATTGAGCTTACTATATTAGTTAAACACAGATACATTATATAGTTAGACTAGATTTACATAAGCGAGTTTGTAAGCCTGCTTATCTATTTCATTATATAATAAATCTTAATCAAATTATATTGGAGCTTGAGATTTATTTTTATTTATATTTAATTTTTTATATCTATATTATTTAAATACATATTTGCTGAAGTTTTATTGATTTTTCGAATAATTTTTAATAATATTGCTTCATACCAAGTTTTAAGGCAGAGGCTTGCACGAACATTTTCTGTTAATAACCGGTTCCGGGTTGGACTAATTGTATGTTTGGCAACTGAAAAAATTTGCTCACTGGGAATATTCTTTGTGGCAAAGTTTACAAGATTATTATTATCAGTATCATCAATAAAGTCCCAAACAGGATCAATTTTTCGCCGTTTTGGCATATGTTTTGTAATAGATTTGGATGGAGTTAATGCAGTTTCATTTGTGTTATCAGGCGTATCATCATTTATTAATGTAACATTGTGATTATTATTTATTGAATTTATTTCTGTAAGATTTGTATTATCGTCAGTAATAAGAAAAAAGAAAAAAGCATTAGTATCATATTCTAAAATTTCATTTTCAGTCATTTGGATTTAAAAAATTATGATGAGTGAAACTAGAGCTATTTTGGTCAAACACGCTATATATATACTTTTTTAAGTTCATACTAACAAAAGTGTTAAGCAAGCTCAAAGCACGTTTAATAAAAGCATATTAAAGCTTATTGAAAAAAGCTTGTGCTTAAACTCGGTTTAAATATGCTTTGTTGAAGCAATTTAACATCCCTAATTTATTTAGATATTTCCGTTAAAGTATTAATTTATTTTTTTAAAAAAAGAATCATAGATATTTTTTATCATATGAGAGATTCGAGATTCGAATATCATGTGACACAAGTGCACATTGAAAATTTTCGTGTACACAGTGTATGATGAATTTACCAATTGAGTTAAAAATAAACATATATAAATACCATGACCAGAATATAACGAATCATGTGACATTTAACCAATTAAATACGATAGTAACTCTCGTTATAATGAAGTAACCAATTAAATTCTTTAAAATTCTTCGTTATAGCCTTATAACGAATTGAAGTGAAGGGTTCGTTATATCGTGAGTTGACTGTATATTGCTAATCGGAGAACAAATAGCGGAAAGCTTACTTTGGCAAATGTTTTAAGCAAAGAAAATAATTCATGATGATTGATTATCAAAGCAAACTTATTAGCGTTAGCTTATTGGAAAAGGCATATGTCCGATAACAATGGGTTTTTTACTTACAAAGAATTGTGCTTTTCCATTTTTGGTGACCATATGCAATTTTTGCACCTTCTGACCTTTGATTTCACAATCTTCGGATATTTAGGACCCCAGAAAATTCTCATATAGGTAAGGTGCAGACCGTGCAGCCATATAAGCATTTCTTTCAGGGCCGGAATTATAATAATTCCAGCCAATATCTAAAAAACGGAAATAATTCCCTGATCTAGAATTTATCAAAATTATCCATAAAAGTTAAGATCTACATGATCGTTCTTACGCATTTCAATCACTTCACTTACATGAGACTTTTCCGGTCCTGGTTATTAATTTCTAAATCCGATTTTCTTGGCGTATTTTATCATCTATTTTCATCTTCATTAAAGGGTATCTTCCTGGTTAGTGATAAAATTTATTTAAAATTCAAAAAAAATATCTTGCATAAAATCCAAATTCATCTCAACTTTTTTTTCAACTATTGTAAATATTCTCCATCATAATTCATTAAAATTCTAAAAAAAAAAAAAAAAAATGTCTCAAATTTCTCGAATTATACTTAGTCCACCTGTTCAAAATTTAATAAATTATTATCGTAATCGATTTATAAATCATATTTTAAACGGTTATTTTATTTATTATTATTTTATAATATTGCTTGGATTTTCACTTTTTCTTTATTTTATATCCCTATCTTACTTCTTACGATCAAGAAACAATTTCTCTAATTTCTCTATCAACATAAATGGTGATTTTACGATTTCTGCTACGAAAACGACTATATACTACTATCGTTCTTCGATTACGACGACCATATATCATGATTCTACGACCTATATCTTTGTATAATAAATTTAAGTAAATATATAAATGCTTACTTAGCTTGGTTACAATCGGATTCCTTTTATAGAATTCTAAAAATTCACAACATAACCTACACTTTTGAGTCGCATTCAACTAGTTAATTCACACCGGCGGATATCTCTAAGGGTTAGTATCACTGTATCAGGTGGACTAGTAGTAGTAGTAGTAGTTGTTACTCTCACAGAACAACACATATAAATTTTGAATTTATAATACAGAAATTTTTCCTTTTTCTTCTAATTATTTTTCTTTTACATGGTTTAACATAGGCATAGTCTAGTTGGGACATTTTCATATCAGTAGTCAGTTGCTTGTGCGAGCTTGTCTCAGTTATATACCCTACTTTAAGTACTTATTTTATTTTGTACGTTTAGTTTGTACCGGACATGAGTTATACTATCAATAAAAATAAAAATAAATAAAATAAATACAAAATTATTGAATGGATCAACTAATAATCCTTTGGACCATCTACTAGCTTAAAATTATCCAAAATCATAGGCTAGGCCGGAAATTAAAAATACTGTATAACGAATAACCTCAAATATAACGAATAGCCTCCGTACTTGATATACTACTAAGAAACTTTCCAGGGTTAATTAACGATAATCTAAAGTGATCCTTTGTGACCTCGTCTTTATAGTAATAAGTTTACGACAAACATTAACGATACATTATAATATTTTTAATTAGACCTCAAATTTTGCATCCTCTTTATATTTTTCTTACATAATTTAATCTCCTCGGACTTTATACAAATATTTTAAAATTTCATATATCACACAACAAAACAATTCGTTAAACCATACAACGTCAACATGATATACGGAGTAAATCTCCTAGTACATAGTCATTTATCGTTTAGTGCAAATTATCAACTCCCGCTTGACAATTTAGGCTAGATTATTTAAACAAGCTCAAACTTATTACGCAATGACCCTGGCAATTTTCGATATCCCATATTCTTATTCGTTCATAATAACGTAGTGATTTTATAATTAGTTTCTCTTATAATACGAGTTATAGTTGTAATGGTTCAACATTTTACATATTTGGAATAAACTTCTTTTTATTTTATTTAAGTATTATACTATCGCACTATAGTGACTATACTACTTTTTTTTAAAATAAAATAATTATTTTAATACTTTATAATTTATGAGGATAGTTAAAAAAATATATTAGAATAATATGAATAGTCGTTAAAAACGAAAATACTGTAATTATTGTTTCGTAGGTTCTTTGGTTGGGTTCATATATAATATATATATATATATAAATTTACATATGGTTCAAAAATTTAGTATATTTAAAATTAATAAAAATATATATTAAGATAAATTCTTATAAATAAGTGATAAAAATGAATATAAAAAAAAAGTGACACATTGTAGTCTAACATGTTATCTAATTATTTAATTTAATTTTCTTATGTTTAATAATAATCACATCGTCATCTTCATGTCCTATAATATATACGTATAATATACGTATAATATTATAATATTAAATATCTATAAAAATATAAGAAAAAAAGATCAAATTATATATAAAATATGTTACCATCCAAAATTTCCCAATACATTCTTTTAGGTTTGTTAATTTCATCATCATCATCATCTAACGTCAAAAGGTTTCATACAGTAAATAACAAATTTAAAAAGATAATTATTTGTATTTATATATTTACCAATTAAAATCGGCGAATCAAACTGTCCAATTCTATTTTCGGTCACAATATCTAAATAAAATAACAATAAAATGTTAAATAAGTATGAAATGTTCATTTTTCAGGTATATAATATAATTAATTAATTAATACTTACTGTTTGGAATACTTGAATACACTTGTATGCTTGAATATGCTCTATCTTAAAAATGTGTTCAGAAATAGATTACTAACTGAAATATGTCATTATAATACTTGACATAATTGCTGATTATGCCAGAATTATAAATTTTTAACTTTGTCCAATAAATGACTCATTTTTAATAATCAATGTAAAAATGACTTGCCTTTGATAATATTTCTTTGTTCACATAGATCTACTACATCATGGACTTTACTATTAAAACTCCGATTTATTGAATTAACAGAACAATCGTTCATAAGGTTTATATTCGTATAATCATCTGCTGTTTGTTGTACTTTATTCATCATCTCATTTATTTTGTCTTTTAATATAAAAATATTGGGTCTTTTCATTGGGTCAGCGTCCCAACATTGTTTCATTAATTCTTTATATTCCAAAGGAGTTCCTGGTATAATTTCTGGTCTCATATCATTAATAATATCATTTATGAAATTACAATCACCATGTTCATAATTAGCAAATGGTGGATATCTGGATGAAATTTCCCACATTAACATCCCCAAACTGTAAATATCGGATGAAAAATTATGTTCTCTTTCAGTAATAACTTCAGGTGCCAAATAAGGAAGAGTTCCATATATATTGCCTAATGATTTATCAGATGGACCGCAAAATCCAAGATCACCAATTTGCCATTGATCTTTGTATTTTAAGAATAATATATTTCTGGAATGTAAATTTTTATGAATTATATTTTCTTCATGAATTCTTAAAAGCGCACAAATTATATCTTGAGTAATTTTAATTACTTCTTTCCATGTAAGTTTATGACTTTGTAAATAATTTCTTAAATTCATATCTAATTCTTTCATTACAAGCATATAACCTGATTGATCTTTAGTTATGCCATAATATTTAACGAGAGAATTCCATTTGTTACTTGTATTGAAACAAGACTTCGCCTACGATAAAAAATGATTATAATAATATTAAAAATGGGTCATACTGCAAATAAAAATACTGCAAATAAAAATGCAGTATATAAAAATACTTTACATAATATATACCTCTTCAAACCAACTTTTGTTAGCATTTTCAACATTTTCTAACCTTTTAAGAATTACTTTCTTGGTTTTAGATCTTTCTAATTGTTGTTTTTTAGAATCCCATATTTCGTAATAACCGGTAACCCAATCCGCTGAATAAATTCCTCCGGTTAAAAGTTTAACATTTTGTAAATTATCGTATGGAATCCATTCAATTATTTTATTCGGACTAATAGATTCTATTTGACATTTTTGTATTAAATCATCAACATCATTATTTTCAGATGTCCAATTTGAAAATTTAGTTTCAAGATAATTTCTAATACAATATTCACAATATAATGTCGCTAAACATTCTTCTTGACAATTTTCACAAATTCTTTTTATACCTTCATTAAAAATAATTTTATTATGATCATGAGTTTTTATTAATAATTTAATCATTTGTGATTTTTGATCTTTTGTAAGATTTTTATTAGCTATAATCATTTCTTTTCTAATTTCATGTTGTAAATTAAAATTATTTTTAATATTATTATTATTTTTATATTCTGATGTTTCATGTATTTCATTAATAGTAGTGAAAATTAATTGATGTTGATGATTTTTAGTAACAACAGACATTTTTTTTTTTTTAATGGTTTGTTTTGTTTTTTGTTTTGGTTTTTTAAAAAAAGGGAGGTTTTTTTTATATATAAATTTTCGGAATTTTCGGAATATTTTTGAACCGTAATTGTTTCTAATTTTGGAAATCTTTTGTTGTTTTTGTTGTTTTTGTTTGATGAATATGAAATTAAATTATAATAAAAAGGATTTGAAGAAAATTGTTACACGAATCTTCATGAAATCCTTTGTTTTAATATTTTTAGTACCATGTGAAGATTGAAACCCCCTTTTTTATCTTGTTTTGTTAAAATATACTTTTTTAGAAGATAAAAATCAAACTATTTATACAATGAATAAAAAAAATTTTATTATGACATAATTTTTAATTTATCTTGGAATATTTTAGAATATTTTTATGGATAAATGAAAATTGGAATAAAAAAAAAGCATTTAATCGTTAGCCCGATATTTAACGGAACTATATGAACGGGTATGAACGGGTATGAGCGGGTATGAGCGGGTATGAACGAGTTTAACTAAAGAGTGAAAGCAACAAAAAAATAATTTTTTAAAAATCTTTACTTTAATATTTTATGTATAAGACAAAAGTATAAGGACAACACAAATTAAAATTCAATCGATGTTCAAAAAAATAGTAAAGTATTAGCAAAAAAACATTAGTAAAAAAAGTTGCAAATGAAATATTAAGGTAACAAAATGTAATAGTGCTGATTGCCTAAGTAATGAACATTTATCATATAAAAAATATATAAAATATATTTTCAATTTTCACCGTATGTAAATGCTCATTAGTTATTGAGGAAAAATTTTTTTCCTATTTTTAGATTAATAACCGGAATTAATGATATATCAATCAAGTTTATAATTGCGCCAAATGCCTTTGTGCACTTTTGTGCACAAATAAGGTTCTATCAGTGTTCCATTCATATTTCCTAATTGAATAAACAAAAAAATTCAATGCAAGTCCCGTGAAAAGTGAACGTAAGCTCTCATGTTGATTGGATCGCTTATACTAATTCTGTGAATTTACTCATAAATATATTAATAAAATGTAAAGAAAATGTAATGCATTTTATTAATGGAAAGTTGTCGATCTACAAAAACAATATTATTTTGTTTCGTTTATATTGTTTATAGGAAATGGAAAGTTGCGTGAATTACTGTATGACGTAAAATTATCCCGGTATCTCGCATAGTGTAAGTAACAATAGAGGTATTGTTTACATAATTTATCGTCAGTTATTGTTCGGAATATCCTATTGACCGCAGTATCCTAATGACCGAAATATATCTTCGGTTGATATCTCTATTCTCCCATTCAACCCATTCAATAATTATTTATTTGGCAACGCTTGGATTTATTATATTGTATTTTTATTTTTATTTTATGTTTCAGAGGATTTATTATATTGTATGTAAAATCATATTAAAGCGACTACTGTATCATGTGCCGCTACGTTAACGTGCCGCTACGTTAACATGATGACCAATCAGATATGGGAATCTTTTCAAGGGGTGTTGCCCGCATTATTATATGGTGTTTGCAGCCTATCAAAAGATTACACGTGATGATCCGGCATTTTCGGAATTTTCTCCTGATACACAAGATTGTTATCAAACAATCTTATTTGTATAACATTAGGTACCTATACTTTAAAGAATTCCTTTAAGAAAAACAAATATTTATGAACAATTTCTCGTAATAATAGTTTGAATGAACCTTATTTTGAAAATTTAGGAAATATACTAGGAAAATATACTAGGGAAAATATATTAGAGAAAATATATTAGAAAATATACTAGGAGAAATATGTTTAGAAATATACTAGGGAAAATATATTTAGAAATATACTATATATAAAAATGGATGTATAAATAGATGTATAAATATATATATATAATATATATATATATATGGGACAATGATACAAAAATTCTATATTCCCAAGAATTTATTGGGGAGAAAATACATTTTTCGACAGAAAGAAAATAGAATCTACGCCAACTTGATTAATAAAATTAATAAAATGATTATATAAACAGGGTTATACTGTTATAGTTCAAAGAAAAAAAAATTTTTTTTTTGTTTATTATGTTTTGGATCGGGTTCCAAATAATTTCATTGTAAATTTTCCATAATTTCCAGATCTTCAAAACATTTAATTCGGTGGGCGGTATTAGTAATCAAATCACCACCCTAATTTCATTATGTTTGCGGATCGGACAACATAATCCACGGGTCATTTTATTGATCCTAACATGGAAGTTTGATTGGATTGATTGATCATCTTTTACTTATCGGCAACATCAACGACTAAAAATGAGTTTTCATTTATAAATTCGTTATAATAATAATAATCTTCCTTATAAAAAAGTTATTTCGTCCTTTTCATTCCTACTGAATCACCGAATTCAAAAAAAAAAAAAAATTACATATATTTTATATATTTTATATATTTTTTTTTTTCATCATGTCTAAAATTCGACGAGAAACAATTAATAATATACTTAATAAAGCATATACATTAACATATAATAAGAATGATTTAGATAAAACTTATGAATCAAGAAAAAAAATAATTTTTGATGAAACATCACTTACAAAAGAAGAAAAATCAGAAGCTATAAGATTATTAAATAAATATTATGATTATAATAAAATTCATCATGATAATACTAAAAAAAGAATTTGTAATAATTGTGAAAGAAAATGTTTAGCAACATTATATTGTGAATATTGTATAAAAGATTATTTAAAATCAAATTTTTTAAATTGGACATCTGGTAATATTGATATTGATAATTTAATACAAAATTGTCAAATAAAACCTTTTTCTCCTCAAAAAATTATTGAATGGATTTCTTTTAATAAATTACAAAATATTAAATGTTTAACTAATAGTGGTTATTCTGAAACTTATTCAGCTGATTGGATTGAAGGAAATTATAAAAAATGGGATCTTAAAGATCAACAATTAAAAAGATCTGGAACTAAAAAAGTTATACTTAAAAAATTGGTAAATGTTGAACTTGCCAAAGAAAATTGGTTTGAAGAGGTATGTATAAATTGAAAAAAAAAGTAATAATTAATTTAATTAAATTGAAATTTTATTAATCAATTGTTTTATTGTAGGCAAAATCTCATTTAATGATAAGTAATAGATGGAATTCTATTGCTAAATGTTACGGTCTAACTCAAAATCCATTAACTGGAAATTATATGCTTATAATGAAACAATATGATATGGATTTAAAAAGATATTTACAACAAAATAATAATCAATTTAATTGGAAAGAAAGAATTAAGATTATTATTCAAATAACTAAAGCACTTTCAAGAATTCATAAAGAAAATATATCTCATAAAAATTTACATTCAGGAAATATATTATATTCACATCATTATAATTATTGGTATATTAGTGATCTTGGTTTTTGTAATCCTGCCGATAAACCATTAAAAAGTATTTATGGAAATCTTTCTTATATAGCTCCTGAAGTTATTTCTGGAAAAGAATATAGTCTTGCATCTGATATTTATAGTTTATCAATGCTTATGTGGGAAATTTCATCTGGACAACCACCTTTTATTAATTATGAAAATGGAGATTATTATCTTGCAATAAATATTGTTAATGGTATGAGACCAAAATTTGTATCAGGAACTCCTGAAAATTGCAAAAAATTAATGGAAAAGTGTTGGAATGCTGATCCATCAAAAAGATTTAAAATTAATAAATTTAAAAAAAGAATAACGGAAATTAACAAATCATTTTATAATCAAAAAGAAATTGAAATACAAAAATCAAATATAAATTCCATAGATTATAATAGAAAATTATGTAGTAAAATGTATAGTTTTAACGATATACCTGAACCAAAAAATGCTACTAAAGGTTTGATATTTTTTTTTTAAATTTTTATTTCTTTAATTATCAAATAATAACATTTTTAAAAATATTATTTTTTAAATAATTAAACAGAACAACAACACGGTAATTATTATTATTATTATTAATTTATTTTAATAAATTTTATAATATAATTAATATATATTAATATATTTTTTTTAAAATAGAATTTCATTGTACACAATAAAATTTTTATTCTGGCGATGATCGGAAACGTTAGTTACTCCCCGATTTTTTTAGATCGTAAAGAATCAGAGTTTAAGAATATTGTACATGTGGGCGCATTAAGGCGTGAAATATATTACACCAAATTTTTTGTTCGAAGGTTCATATGAAAATAGTATTAACACTGGTGTAACGCCGAATTGTCGGTATGGCTTGATCTTAATTCACCCCATGTATCCCATGTATCCCATGTATATGTCTTTATTGATTATTACCTTTTTTTCTTTAACTTAAAATAAAACATTTTATTACTTTTCTTTTTTTTTTTAATTATTTATTATTATGTCTCTAGTAATTATCTATTAAAGGATACTTCGTAAATAAAGGTTTATTTATAAATGTATATTTTTATTAAGATCACGAAATTTATGAAGGATTTGTACGGTGTACCGTTTTGGACGAAAGAGTGCCAAAATTTCGAAAAATTGATTTTTTTGAATTTTTGAATTTTCATCCAAACGGTACACCGTAGATTTGCTATTTATGGTAAAAAACTTAAATTATAAAAGTGAATAATTGCTGACTTACTCTTTAAATATCTTTATTATGTCAGACTCAAAATTTCTATGTAGTGCTCTGTACGGGTCGGGTTAAACCCGGGTGTTCGACCCGACCTGAATTTTTAGATCGAGTCGGAATTGATCATTTTAATGACTTATAACCCGCATAAACGAACCCGTCGAGTTAGGGCCATACTGTTGCTTTGACCCAGATCAACCCGGGTGACCCGAATGACACGTTTTTTCCATCACTATTGTTATTTTATACTTGGAAAAACTTTACTAATAAATAAAATATAATGTCTGAGGCTATTGATATTATTGCTGAGCCAACAACTAAACTCGGAAAACGAAAGCTTTACGTAGTGAGCTTTTTATTAAAAATCTCCTTGAGGAAAAAAAGAACCCCTGCCATAACGTAAAGATGCAAATACGCATCATGAAGTCAGATGTCTTAACTGTCCATATGTATAAAAATTTTTAAAATATAATTTTTAGTTGAAAATATACACTTACTAATATTATAAATTAATAATATGATTTCAGTTATTCAAGTTACGAGTGTTTCCAGTAGAGTGAACTTTTTCCAGTGGAGCTGATCTTGCGGCGACAAAAAGATTCAGTCTTAAAACTATTCGCGCATGTATGTTTGAAATCTTGGTGGGCGTGAAAAAATCAAAGAAATTTAAAGTGAATTTTATATTAATTAATTAAATAAACAACATTATTATAATTAAAATTGTGAAGTGGTTGAAAAAATAAATCATGTAACTTGATTAATTTTGCTGATCATAAATTTAATATAAATTCGAGTTTGGCCCGGGTTATTATCCGGGTTAAACTATAATCGGGTCGAGTCGAATTACGTGAATATTCGAGTCGAATTCGAACATCCCTCAACCCCGACCTAACCTGACCCGTACGGAGCACCATTTCTATGCAATTTAATCAATTTAATCTAAAAAAAAAGAAACTAAAAGTGAGTACTATTGAACCAAAAAAACATCCAATATTGTTTAAAATAATTGTCGACCCATGCGTGATTATGAATCATAACAGATAATTACTATCGTTCTATGCGCTCTCTCATAATTAAAACGCGTAGAATAAGACGCATTAATAATTATTACATCTAAATTACGGTTTTATTATTAATGTTTCCTTTATTAGATTGCCTATTGCCTTTAACTTGCATTTTATCATTCTACATGATTATCCAACCGTAGACCCAGTTCATAATCACGGTTTGAATAAATAAATAAATTCAACTATTTAGACGTAAACCTCTTTCCTGAATTGTTTCTTTCAATGAAATAGCCTTGTCACATTCTCCTGCTTTGTTTCACAAATTTATTAATTTGTTGAAAATATAAACTAGTTAATTTATCGCATTAATCGGATATTAATTCTCTAAAGAAATTAACGCATGTTATGCCTTTCCCTGTTTTTATTTTAATTTCATAAATTTGCTTGCGCTAATTTTTTTTAGTTAGCCTCACGACCTCACAGAGAAAGTTCCACACCTTAAAACAGGTCGTGATTCCTATTAGTTTTATTAGTTTGTAGCAATCAATATTTGCAAAATTCGCGACAAATAATAAGCACGTGACATTTAACCAATCAATTTTGATACACAGCGGTTGTCGACAGATTTTGTTTGCTTTTATTTCAGATTCTCAGTTATTAGACTCGCTCGCCTAATTTTATATCAAAAATTATTAATCATAAATTATTTACAAATGCCATTATTTTTGATTATTTATTGACATACCAAATTATAAATTATTACTATTACACACAAATGTGTGTTCAGTGAATTTAATACTTGAGATATATATTCACCTTATCTCAACTTAACATATTCTTTGTTACATCCGACATGTAACAAAAAGCATAATATTTACCGATCATACCTCGAAGGAAGTAAGGAAATAGCAACATATACTATAACATACATGGCCCTCAGCTCTATATGTGAAGTTTTGTTTTGTTACAATAAATGTGCAATAGTTTTGTGTTAGCTTTTTATGTTAGCTTTTTAATAATCACCAATGAAATGTCAGAATAAATTTTAGTTTTAGCTAGTTTTAGAGTGACTAAACACAATAGTATTATATTACCATATTAAAATTTAGAGGTTCTTCGCAAAATGATTTTTAATGAGGTAGAAATTGATTAAATGAATTTTCTTTAAAAAAAATGTATAATTAGGTTCTTTGTATTTTGTTATATTGATTATAAGTTAAAATAAATATCTATTCTAACTTATTTATGAGAAGAAATTTTCAAATATATCTGAGAAACATTGAATTACTCTCACAATGCAGCTGCATACTATTATTTCATTTCCATCCAAAGTTATTAAATACCATATAAGAAAAGTTGTGAAGAACGCTTGCATACAACTATTATTACAATTACTGTATCATATTTTAAATAATCAATCTTCCATGATGCAAATGTCATTCCTCATATCATAGTCCTACATAAAAAAAGACTGAAATTTGATAATTTGTTAAGAAAAATTAAAAAGAATATATTGAAAACAGAAAGTTACCAGACTTTGATCGTATAGCGCATGTAAAATAACTTGCATCGCATCTCTATAAATTCCAAATAAAAGTCCTATAGCTATGTATTTATTAAATCAAATAATATTTAATTTAAAGAAATAAACTCTTTTTTTTTAGATTCCACTGATTTTCTTTGAAAATTGAGGTTGATATCTTTTACACTTTTGTTTAATAATCTAAAAATACTTTTTGTGAGACACTTTGTGCATGAGTATAGGAACTAAAAACTATATTAGATATGAGAGTAAGAAAATTGTATAACAACCTCTAGCAAGATCTTTAAATCTGGTAATTCTTGTTCCTTTTTCATTTCTTTCAATACTAAATTTCATTTTTTTTTCTTTTAAGTTCTAGATGGTAGTTAGCAAAATTTCTTGTGGCTTTGTGACTCTTAAATAAAAGTGTGGCTTTTATCAGATCGAGAACTGATCCCGTGATGCGCGAGATGCATGATGCAATTGATGCACTGATGGGATTTTATCTAATCAGCTCCCCCGTGTATCATTAGTATCATTGGTGCTGTAAAAGCATCTTCATGTGCCGAGGGAGATAAAAAAAAATATGAGGCAGAGTGTAGTGGTATGTGAATAGGTAATGTTGCTTTATTTTTCTGCCTCAGTTGCTATTTATTCTGCAGATTTGAGATTACTTAATCTTGGTGTATCGAATAATTTTACTGCGTCTAAACGCCAGCCTATCCCTTGGATGAAATTTCGTATATATACATACATAATAAATTATAGTTATTATAGTTATTTGTTGAGAATAGAAAATATTATAATAGATAGTATTATTTGTTATTTCTTATTCGTTTTTTTTTATTTTCATATGATGTACAGTATTTTACTGTGATTTGTTTATTTTTATATTATTATATATTTAGTTTATATATTGGATAATATCATGTCACACTTTATTGAAATTTATTTACATAATTTAAAAGATTATGATAAATCGAAATTAAATGAATATTGATTAATTCCTTCAAATATATTATTTGATCCTAGTTTTATTAAACATTTAGATACACATACCCCTGCGGGGTGCATTTGGGTGAATTGGATGAAGTTGGTGTGAAGTTGGGTAAAAAAATTATAAAGTTAAAGAGTTTTCGGAAAAAAAAAATATATATATATATAAATTAAAATTTATTTCGTAAAATTTTTTCGTAGAAATAAATTTTTTCGTATTGAAATTGAAAAGGATATTTAAGACCTTTTTATATATTTTTTTGTTGTACAAACTTTTTATAAACTATGAGCAATAAACACATGAAAACGCGAAAAATATCAGTTTTCGCGTCTATTAAATAAATTAACTCAGATAGTCTATATAGTCTACGGGTTTACACATGAAAATGGGACTCATTATGATTATATTGATAAATATTATGTAATAACATTATTTCTATTTATTTTATTGAATATCTATAATTCTAATTAATAGTATACCCGATAAACTGGTAAAAAACTGATTATCATGATTATGAGTTCCGATATAATGATCATCAAATTATACCAAAATTTAAACTACCGGTAACTAAATTCTTTATTTAAAAAATGATCAATTGCGTCAAACAAGATCAGAGTATATAAAAAGTATAATTAAGCTGTAAACTTATAAAACTTATTAAAGGATTAATTTTAGTTTATATGATTGCAAACATAAAATATATAAACATCAGTATCCTAATAGACTGATACACGTAATGATTCATGCGAAATATAGTTGACCATGAGACAAATATATATCATCGGAGAAAAATTTTCTGCATATAGTACTTAACCCACTTATCATATACATTGATATTTTTAGTATCGATATTGACAAAAATAAGTCAGTAGATGAGTACGACCTTTTACTTCAAAAAGCTGATATTTTCATGTTAAAATCGTATTCATATTCTCCTGTATAGTGCTTCGATCTGGATAAAAATGAATATTTTCATGTGACAATTATAGCTGAGAAAGATTATGAATCTCAGATTTAAATAGACTATAATTTAGACCAACATTAAAGTATTATTATCCCAAAAATTTATACTAATTTACTTATTCTTAATATATATATAAAGTTGAGGGAGACATTGCACATAAATTAAGCGAAATTGAATCAGGAGATAAAATTATTCTCTTAGATATTCATAATATTTTTTTATATTTTTAACTTATCATTATCCTTTTAGATGTTCGAGATACGCTTTTGGTTGCGTACAAAACAGGGTGTTTGATGATAGGAGATAAGTCAAGTTTGAGCATAAAGGCAAGAACTATGATGCAGNGATGTTCGAGATACGCTTTTGGTTGCGTACAAAACAGGGTGTTTGATGATAGGAGATAAGTCAAGTTTGAGCATAAAGGCAAGAACTATGATGCAGTGTTTAAAACCATCAATGTATAATTTGATCATGAGTGTATATCCTTTACGATGAAACTCATATACATAATTAAAATTCCTTAGAATCTTTTTATATAATGTGTATATATATATACTGTATATACTGTATTATAGATGATAAAATAATAATGAATTTTAATCTACTCCCGCAGTTATAAAGAAGTTTATTGTCTTGAACAAATTTTTGATTCATTGAAATTAGTTTATATAAAAATTTGGATTCAAAATAAATAATTAAATAAATAAATAAATAAAAGCAAATCAAATTAATATTGTTTCCACAAGATAGAAATATTATTACAATTTGTAAACATAAAATTGACACCATTAACATCTCATCCGTCTATAATAAAATATAATTAAATTATTTTACATTATAAATATTTCTTACAACTTTAGATAGTTATTGCGTCAATCAAAAGTTCAATATGAGTATATGACTCACCTGTACTCAGATATATTATGTAATAATTGTGTCTGATCGCACATCTGAAATGTGTGACAGGTTACTCCGAAAAGTGGCGCCAATCATCAAATGATCTGTCTGACTGTACCACAACTCCAAGCGCGTTCCTGTGATCTATCCAATAGCAGTTCGTGTGATTGTGTCGCTTTAATAATATATCCCTTAAAATTTTTTTTTTTCTTCTTCCTCTTTCACGCTTTTCCTCGCTAAACATTTACTTTCTCTCGATTTATTTGTGGTAATATCTGTAATATTTACTTAAAAACTTTTCTATATTATTAAAAAAGAACCGTTAAAGTTTATCTTTAAAATTTTTAAAAAATAAAGTTTAAAAAAGTTACACAAAACAAGTATGGAAAGCGATAGCGGTGATAGTGCTGCACAAGTAAGTCAATTTTGCACTAGCTTCGTTACTTTCGAAAATATTTTTGCAAAAAAAAAAATAAGTATCCGGATTTTTGGGTAAAACTTTATTTAATATTCAGAATTAATATAGAGTCTTATTATCATAATTCATATTTAAACTTTTTTTAACTTTTGTTAATTAATAAATAGAGTTTATCTCTTAATTTTTATCATATTAGTTAATAGATAGAGTTGATTAATTTTTGTAATTATTTCATTAAAATAAAACGATAAAAATTTTATTTTGCTATAAAACATTTATTTATCCAATGTATATATTATTATATTATATAATTACTTATAAAAATAAATTATTTTCGGGTCTTTTCCTAGGATTCTCTACCGGAAAGATTAAAACCATTCCTTCCTCAGTGCAATACATATTTAATTGAAAAATTTAGTGAATTGCCGTCATATCGAACTGCAGAGAATTTTAATGTAACACAATTTGAACTAAAGGCGTATGTAAATGTTGATAACAAAGAAGAAGCGCACAAGTGGTTTGCTGCCTTTAAATAATGGTCCAAAACAACTATGGCGCAAACAAGGGGTTTTAACGTCAAAGGAAATCGTGTCATTTATAGAGAATTGTATCATTGCATTCACAGCAACGAAGTGAAGAGAAAACAAGGCAATCGTGAAACAAAACGTCCACAATCTGCTCGGGCACGTAATGTAAATTGCGCTGCAAGTTTACATCTTCGAATAGAGCGAAAAAGACTTCCATATAGCCACTCGTTAGAAATCGAATTAAAATTTACACATAACCACGTTATTAATTCAGCTGAAGCATTAAGTTTTCGGCGTGTCGAAGAAGAAGTTCATTAGGAATTCATTAACCTATTCAGAGATGGACACTCTCCATCTTCGGCTTTATATGCTCATGAAGACAGTCTTCATCTCAACGCATCGGATGAACAAGAATTGATGGAGATCCTCGCCGATCGAGCAAAAAATCCGGATTATGATTATGTCGCAAAGATTTTTCAGCAATATCGTGAATCTGCACTAGGCAGCCGTAATAGTAAACCGATGTTTGAGCGTCTGAAACAAATAGTTGAAGATTATGATGATTCAGGCCAAGGTAGAGCGGTTTTGCAGGAGTATAATGCAAGCTCCGGGAGTGTATTCATTCTATGTATCGTAACAAATTTGATGTCCCGAGTACACGAGAAAATTCGCCAATCGGAAGAAATTTGTTACATGGACGCGTCGGCTGCGTTCGATCCCCTAAACACTTCAATAACCCTTTTATATTCAAGTTGCGCTGTTGGCGCCCTTCCACTTGGAGTATTATTTACCTCGGATGAGCTTGAAATAACACTTGAAAAAGTGGTATTTGATTAATAATTATTTGTTTTACTTTATAAATAATTTATTCATTTAATTCTTAACTTTATATATTAACTTTTTACACATAATATATTTTGGTTGAATTTATTAAAGACAATTCTACCTTCACATGCATTTTACGGACGCGGAGCAGAAGTGGGACCAATAGTTTTTCTCACTGATGATTCTAGTGCCGAACGTAATTCCTTGGAGCTATGTTGGCCACAAGGGATCCGTCTTCTATGCACATTCCATGTCCTTCAGGCGTTCTGGAGGTGGTTACATGACTCAAAACACCATATTAAAAAGGAAGATAGGGCACCCATAATGGAGAAAATGAAAAAAATTCTTTATTCAACGTCAGGTCCGGAGATGGATGTACATTATAACGAATTCAAGCAGAAGTTTTATGGATATAATCTGCTGCGAAAGCATTTCGAGCTTTTATGGAATCGTCGTCAGTTTTGGGCCCGAACAAGATTACCTATGCGCGAAAACAACACGAACAATTATATTGAACGAAGTTTCGGTATGTTGAAAGATATCATTTTCGCCAGGACACAAGCGTTCAATCCCGTCCAAATATTTCACTTTATAACTATGAGTATGGAGAGGTTTTATGCGCGGCGACTACTCGGAATAGCACATAAACATCCGGGACACTTAAGAATAGCAAGACGGTTTTTATGTCCCGGTTGGGAGAAGGTAGATGCGAATCTTATCCAAAAAACGAATATAGATTTTGAATTCATAGCACCAAGTGCAAGCAATTCCGGCATTTTCTACATCGTAAACACCAAAATTGGAGCTTGCACCTGTCCAGTTGGTATATCAGGCGGTCCTTGCAAGCATCAGGGAGCGGTTGCTATGAAATTTCATATTTCCACGCTTAATTTTATACCATCATTAACACCTAACGATCGCATGGTATATGGTTATATTGCACTTGTTAAGCGATGAATTGTGGTACTCATTTTCTATGAACAATAACTTATTTCTTTTATTTTAGGCCAATTAGCGGAAAATAGTTCTTTTTATGCATCACTGAGAGCTGGACCTGGATTCTCTCCACAAGATCAAGAAACTATTCTATCAGATTATTCGGATAATTTTTTTAATGATGAAACTACCGAGTGGAGGTTTGTATTGTTTTTAGAATTTGTCAAAATGGTTCAATTTCGTTCGTTAATGCGCTAAATTATTGATTTTAATTAGGGAACTGAATGAAGAAAACGAAAGGAACGAAAGGAACAAGGAAACGAATAATGCTGAGTTTAATACTTTATTATGAAACATTTATGATTTATGTATGCGATTGCTTTTAATGTGTTTGAATAATTTCAAATAAATTTAATTGTTTACATTATAAAATGAACTTAGTTTTTTTTCTTATTAATCGAATACAAAGCATACAAGCAAATTTTTAAAGTAAATAAAAAAATAAAAAAAAAGAAAAAAACACTTAACAATTGTAAACGTTTTTTTTTAAAAAAAATTATTAGTTTGAAAAAATTTTTAAAATTTTTACGAGGAAAATGCAAGTTGAAAATATGACGGTCAGGTAAATTGACGGTTTTGCCACATACATTAAGCAATATATTCGGCGTAACCTGTCACACATTTCAGATGTGCTGTCTGATCGACGATCTTTTCACACTCAGCCTCAAACGCGTACTATAGAATACGACGTGTCTCAATAAATATACATGAGTCAATTTCAGAAAAAAAGTATATATATCCTATATTTTTTTCATACGTTTAATTTTTTTGTATGGTTAAAATACTTTTTCGTACGTTTATCTTATTTTTTCGTACGTTTATTTTTTATTTCAATAACTCGGCAACAAAAAAAAAGTTGTTCGTGCGTGAACAACTGTCATTTGTCGAAAAAAAAGTTTTTTTTTTTTCTTTGGTCGGCAACTAAATTCCTTAAGGGTGCAAGAAAAAAAAAAAAATTTTTTATTCTTCAACCAACAACTACTGTTTAATACTAAAAAAACGTATTTCTAGGTGATTGATTACCTATCATTTGGTTTTCAATACTCTCAAAGACCAACGTGATCTTCACTATGACGACGAGAAGGTTTTGATCGTTCATGACCAGGTAATGGAGTATTGAGTAATATTCGGTATATACCGTAATTATTTATCTTTGCCTTTTTTATAAGAACTCTCTTCTTTTTTGGCATAGGAGTCATTAGTTTGTTTATTTTCCAAAGAATCAACCATTTCCTTTTCTTTATCTTTAAAATTTGAGCGGGAGCAGACCAGCTTGTTTGATCTTCCAATGGTGATAATATTGGTGAAAATTTTGTTCTCCTTGAATCTTTTTTATTATATTTTCTAGAATCATCAAAAGACTCATTGTGATCATTATCTTGGTTGTCTGTTCTTTTACAACTATCAGCTAATACATCTTTTTCTTTATGATTTTATCATTTTAGCATATTTTTTCGTATGGTTAACATATTTTTTCATATGATTAACATACTTTTTCGTATAGTTAACATACTTTTTCAAACAATATATATATCTGTTGTAAAATCATTAGATACCAAAGGTTACCAAATTTCGCAAAAGCCTTCTAAGCCATATATAGCCATATACAATAGAGAGCCACAGTACGGAAGTTAAAGGCCTTCTTTCTTGAGTGGAAAATGACTCAAGAGACTTTAAAAGAGGTGTGTATTTTTTTATTTGCAAAGTGGGTAACTTCCTAAGTCAAAATTAGAACGGATAACTCATTGAGTCGGGGAGTTCACAAATTTTACTTAGGAGGGTACTGGATTTGTTTGTTTGGGTTGGGTAAGGGTGAGCAAAGTGGGTAATTCCTTGAAATTACCTGCTTTTTTCTTTTTTCTTTTATTTTTATTTTTATTTTTTTATTCCCTTTTTTTCTTCTTTTTTTTTATTTTTTTTTATTTCTCTTGTTCATTTGATAACCAACTCAAGCAGATAAAATCCTACTTTGTTATTGGTAAAGTCTGCTAATTCTAAAGGAGGAATTGGCTATGTCTTCTTTACCATTAAATAAAAATTTAGCACACTATTAACAATTTCTTCTTTTTCATAATAGGTAAATGCAGCGATTTACAATCACTGGTAGAATGAAGAAATTTTGCTGAGTTTATTCAAAAAGTAACAAATTATACAAAACTGGAAATCAATATTCGAAATTGAAAATTAATGATGTATCTTGAAAAGATTTTTGTGAAAAGGTAATATTTATGGAATCTATAATTTCAATCAAGAATGAGCTACAATCTATTCTAAAAGATCTGAACGTGCAGATATTTTCTTCAGTATCGAATCTCCATACTATAATGTCAAAAAACTGTATATTATGATGAATAACACTCTGGCAATGAATTAATTACAAGTGATCGAAGAGATTCAGATCATTTATATTGTGTGGGGAATATTTACAGAAACAATTCCAAGAAATCTCAATCCAAAGATTGGTTCGAATGGTAACATTTATTTACTGAGTAATGACCATATTCTTCGTTTAAATGATGGTAATGAGGAGAGAAGTATTGTCCGGCAACCAGCTTATGAAGAGGTGACATATCGCGAAATAGAAGGAGAAAAAAGTCTATCAGAAAGGAAACAGCGTGATAAGACGAATAGAAAAATTAAAAAATAAGTTGGAACGGCGAAAGAAAAAAAAACAGAATTTGCAACATTCGTGAATGGTATACGTGACAATTATGAGATTGACAAAAAATTGTTTGGAATTGATGCCGCCATAGCTTTGGTTGATGACCCTGACAAGAAACAGTCCATAAATCCGAAAGATGTTGCCATCCCTGAATCAGAGTTCAAACTTCGGTCTCTTAAACCTATTGTGCTTTCGGGTATCAGAGATGTCAATTTGATAGAAACTTCAGATTGTGTATTCAAGGTTGGACGTACTATGCAAACTCTTCTGGGAGTACTCGATGTCTTTTTATTATATCTTACCAATATATTTCCTTTGCAGGCTCAGGCTCAATAACATTCAGACTTTCAGATTATCTATCTGGACCAGATCGAATCAGGGACGAAAAAAGATTAAACTTAAAGGGTTTGTATTAATTATAGTATATTTTAATTAAATTATTTCTTTGTAATATAAAAAAAAAAAATACTGATGAATTTTCATTTTACTTAGCCAGCCGGGCTCTTTCTGAGTGCGAAGAACGACATTTCAGAAAAGATAGACGTGTACGTGAAAACGGTAAAATCACTTAAAAACATTATTAAATCTAATATGCGAAAAACAAAGCGAGAAAAAGCACGTACACTACTTGATCGGTATATGAAGGCAAGTAAAGAAGTTTTTCGTTGAAAATATGGTGGGAATAAGTGGCGTGGTAGGAATCTTCTCGCTTCTTCACCATTCAAGACTTTTTGTCGAGCTACAAAATCAGTGCTGAGGCATGGGCGAACTTCTCGTTTCTGTTGTCTAATGTTCAAGACTTCTTGTCGACTCAGTATTGATCCCGTTGGGGCACAGGCGAACTTCTTGTTTCTGTTGTCTGATGTTCAAGACTTCTTGTCGACCCGATGGGATGGGATGGGATGGGATGGGACAAAATCAGATGAAGGCGCCGGCCAAAAATATTACTAATTTTCAATTCTTCTATACTAAGGTATTCGGCCTGACCGTCAGGAGGCAAGAACATGGAGGAAAGAACGTAATCGTAAAATGTGTACACCATCAGTTCACATCGAGACTAACAATGGGAATGTAAGCGGGACCACCAACGGCGGAGCCTTTTTTGCTGGATTAGAAAGAGATGTGTCAAAGAAAAGAAAATATCAAGAAAATGTAGGTTCTTACATTCTCTTTGCTGTACTAATTTGGTTGATACTAACTTTTATTACACGTCCCGAGAAAAAGACAATCTGTTTCGAATATCCGATCTACCAATGAGGCTAATGAAATCGCTGAGGATGCTATACTCATCATTCCAATTTTACAAGCATCGATGAGTAAATACATAATCTTTGAATAATTTACTTCACACTTGCTTCACCCTACACTCACCTTGCAAAACAACACCTTGTGGCACATCTTTGAAGACTTCACACTTCTTAGCGCATGTTTTTTGATTTATGTCATCAGAAACCAATTCTCCAATGACATTCCTAGGCGTGATAATAAAATTGCTAATGAGCTTTGCACACGTATATGATAGATATCCGAAATTAACGAAAAATAAGAAACGTGATGGAAGTATTACTACGGAAATCGAAAGAATCCTCACTACAGCAAACTTACCGCAAAAATCAATTCACGTGACGCTGGCTACGCCTCTCCTCTCGAACGTTCTTCTAGTCGATTATCCGATTCATCTCTTGAAGAAAATAGGAACCGTTTTAAACGAGTTTTGCAGTAAATTTTTTATTTTTTATGAGAAATCTGTGTAATAAAGCTTAGCACATAGTGCAATATTCAAATATGCAATAAAATAACACTAGCGCTAAAGAAATTTTTTATATAACTCTGGACCTATTACACCGCATAAAATTCTACGTAGTATAACAGATTAAAAACTCCCACACATCACTAAAATAAAGTAAGATTTAAAAGCTGATCATTTTAATGAATTATTTGAATCGAGATTTTCAAGAGATTCAATTCGTAACGATGAAACCGAGTCTATCTTAATAAGGTAACTGATTGAGCTGATATAGAACTAACCAATTTTATATTTATTATTTCTAAAGCATAAAAAAAGCTTTTTCTATAAATTTCGTTTTGATAATAATGTTATTGTCGTATAACACTTTCCATTCCCCTTTACGAATATCCTCATATAAAACTCGTTCCATATATCGAAATGTGATTTCTATATTTATAAATATATAAATTTTTTTTTTCTATATCAAGATCTCTCCCCATTTTTTGGATATCTATGTGAAATTTTTTATCAACTCCGACTTTATATAAAAGAATACTTATGATTCGCTCAAATGATTTTTGTCGGTTTTAGTACTTAATAACTTGCTCATCTAAGGAAAGTCATTCTACTAAATCAAAACAACAATAACATTGTTTTTTTTATTGAGAACCGGATCGGTCATAACCGAGTAAAAATTCTAATTTTACCTTTTGATTAGTGCATATGGTTCATCCAATAATTTCCGCAATAAAATAATAAAAAAAAAATCTTACATAAACAGTATATATAAGAAAGTTTTCTTTTCTTCTCATAAAAAAACTTTAGATTAATCGAAACAAAAAAAAAAAAAAAATGTCCGAAAAAAACAATTTAAATGAAAATATGTTAAGTGAAAAAGAAAAAGCTCTTGCCGGACTTCCATATTCAGGATTTTCCGAAGAATTAATTAATGATCGGTTTAAAGCTAGAGAAATACTTTATAAATTTAATAATTCTAAACCAATTCGTTTTAAAACTGATGAATATCGTGAAAGAGAAAACATTTTTCGACAATTATTTGGTAGTGTTGGTAAGGATGTTGAAATTGAACCACCATTCTATTGTGATTATGTGAGTTTTTATCATATTCAATTATATTTGACGAAATGGAATGATAATTAATATTTTTATTATGGTAATTTCGTAGGGATATAATATTCATATTGGGGATAATTTTTTTTGTAATTTTAATTGTACAATATTGGACTGTAATAAAGTTGAAATTGGAGATCGTGTTCTATTTGGACCAAATGTTTCACTTTACCCCGTATCTCATCCTATACAACCTGAAGAAAGAGTAAATGGTCCTGAACTTGCGTTCCCCATAAAGGTATTAACCATAAATAAAATTACTTTGATGATTTTTTAAACAAAATTGATTTTTTATTTTATACTAGATTGGAAATGATGTATGGATTGGTGGTGGAGTTACTATTTGTCCAGGAATTACCATCGGAGATGGGGTATGTGTTGATTATTTTTTTCTAAATTTTAATAGATATTAAATAATTTTGATTCACTTTAATTTATTTATACGGAGATTAGGTAACTGTTGGTGCAGGATCTGTGGTATGTTATTTAGATTTTGAATAATGAAATGAAATTACTTTTTTTTTAAATGAAATTAATTAAATTTAATCATCTTTTTTTTTAGGTTACAAAAGACGTTCCGCCATATGTAGTAGTTGCTGGTAATCCTGCTAAAATAATTAAACATTTAGAAAGAAAAACAAAAATTTAAAATAAATTTTATTTGTTATTATTAAATTTAAAACAATGAATTTATTAACCCTGTGTAATTATATAAAATCTGAAATAATTATTTCGAATTTTTATAAAACTACTTATTCGCGAAGCATCCCAAATTGGTTCATTTAAAAATTCAATTAAGGTTCCTGTATACTTTCATCTGTTGTTCATAACGAATAGTTTCTTTGTTAAGGTCTTTCACATATGGCTTTTTTTAGATATAAATAATTAATCAAAAGTTCAAATAAAATAAATTATAAAGCCAAGAAAAGATAATTTACATTACCTGTTTATCTTCAGGAGTAAGTTTTTCCCAATCAAAAACATATTCTTCAAGCTTATCAAGTCCTATATTTTCTGTTCCATCATCATTCATGCGTTTCATAATATAATAAGCATAAGGCGTTTTTGGTGGTGGTGTAATACTAGGATCTTTAATCAATTTAAGCTTAAGCTTCTCTTCAGCAGATTTCAATTTATGTTCATGTACCAATCTACGTCTTTTATTTTCCTGGGAAATAACCTCAGGCGTCAATAATTTTGACCATTCATCATGAACCTTCTTGTATTCTTCGACCATTTTTTTATATCGATCTATATATACCTAAATTTCGAAATAAATGATCAATATAAATTAAGTTAAACGAATTAAGAGCTTTTCTTACATTTTTTTGATCTGGTGATAATCTTGCCCATCCCGCACCAGCTAATTTAGCAGCGTCAGCTACATTAAGCTTCTTATATCCTTTACGAGTTTTACTTAAGAATTCTCTGTAAAAAAGAATATAAGCGGTTGGAGGACGTTTCGGTTTTTCAGGTATAAGAGGAATAGAAACTTTACAAGAAATTAAAAATTGAATTTTAAGTAAAAAGGAATTTAGTATTATAATCATTTTTTATTTCTTTTTAAAAGAAAAAACTTTGTAATCTTACCACTTGGCTCGTAAATATCTACATTTTCTTGTGATATATCTGTATATTGTCGCATCAAGTTAACACTGACAATGCGACCTTTATAAAAAAGTGATGGCATAGCCTTTAGTTCATGCATAGTTAATAACTTTCCTAGAGTATTCATTTTCGATTTTTTTGTTATCGTCTCGTTTGAAAATGCATGAACAATATACTGTATATGAATGATGATCACAATAAATATGAAACATCATGAGTAATGTTAAAAAGCTCGCATATATGATGATGAAACAATTCTTAAAAAGTTCGCAATATAGAGTCATTATATATGGTCTTGAATCATGAAATTTTTTTTTTTTTTTTTTACTACTTTTTACTACTTTATTAATTTCAAGTATAGTATTATTCCATCATCAGAATCTCTAAGTTTATTACAACTTTTATCTGAATTTATTTTCCTTTAAACCATTTAAATTATATATATATTCATGATAAGCTGCCATATTCTAAATTCCATTTATTATATAGTTCCAAATCACGATCACTAACACTTGCTCGAACTTTTAATTATTAAAAATAGATTAATTAAAAATATAATTTACGAACTTTTGAGTAAATTTCTTACCTTGAGTTAACGCATCTAGAAAGTCGGAGTAATTTATTGAACGGACATCGTCAGCTAAATAATAACAAAGTATGTTAGAGGAGAATTATTATTTCTATATCAACTTAAAAACACAAACCTGAAATAGTTCTAATATCACCTATGACACGTATAGGTCCTAATGCGGCTTCTGTTAAATAGTAGTTGATAAGGATTAATCTACGGATTGTACATTAAAAGATTAATGATAACCTCGACAAAGTCCATCCATGTCTGATCCGGAATATCCTGTTTAAATAAACAATAAAAGGTTAAAGTGTCGAAAATTTATCTAGGAAATAATTATTCAAAGAATTACCTTCTGTCTTCTTACAAATTTCATGGATTTGCTCATCTGTTAAAGAATGTTTTTGTTTCGACAACAAATTCTTTACAATTGCAAATCTACCTTCATGTTCTGGTAAAGGGATATAAAGTCTCTTACGAAATCGACGCCCTTATGAATTTCCAAAGTTTTTATGAATAGATATTGAAAAGGTTCGATACAGAAATTAAATTTGATTTACGTGCAGCTTCGTCAATTTCTTGCGGTCTAATTCCCATTTCACATTAAAAATAATTTAAGGTCGAGAATTTACACTTAAAACAATAAACCATAAAGCATTCAAACCTATTTGTTGCACCAACAAGAAGAATTCTATCTTCCTCTAAACTTGCAGTTTTAACTCCGTCCTAAAGTTATAAAATAGTAAAATAAATTTGGTATTTAAGAATTAAATGCATATAAATTTTATGCAAATATACAAATTGAACGAGAAATTCTGTTTTGATTCTCCTTGATGCTTCATATTCTCCATCGGTTCTTTGAGTTAATAAAGAATCAATCTACAAAATATATTTCTAATTATAGTATTCTTTAAATAGACGCAAGTAGATTAAGTTAAACTAAACCTCATCTACGAAAACCACAGCAGGTTGATTTACTCGTGCCACAGAGAATAAAGCTCGAACCTAAATAATATGAAATAAACAACTAGTAACAAAAAATTTATATGCAAAGTATTTAGCAATTTTACCATTTTTTCACCATCTCCAACCCACTTTGAAGTCAATGATGAGGAACTATTAGAAAAATACTTTAGTTATTTCAATTTTAAGATTTAAGGGAATTTTAGATCTCAACCTGATGCTGAAAAATGTTGAACCGGATTCGCTATAAAATAAAAATTGATGTCAATATAGTAGGTTAATTGCGGTGACGGTAACGATATAGTAGTACCTAGCAATACACTTCCCGATTAAAGTCTTCCCTAAATGTATTTTGAAGAAATTTGTATTTTTTACTCGATGCTTTTTTTTTTAAAAAAAAAAAGTATAAATTAATTACCCGTTCCTGGAGGACCGAATAATAATAACCCTATAAACAGAAATATTAATCAAGAATTCAACATAAGATATACAGTAAATACGGAGAATATGAACATAGCAACCTTTAGGTGGGCTTCTCAATCCTGTAAAAATGTCACTGAAATTACGTAATGACATTGTTAACAAAAAAATTCGGCTCTTTTTTAATTAAATAAATAGTGATTTCTTACGGTCTTAATAATGGCCATGTTACAGCCTCTTGAATTGTTTTTTTCGCGTGTTCTAGTCCAGCAATATCATCCCAGGTAATATTTGGAGATTGTTCCATGATCTATATCATATATTTTTAAGTTCATGATTCAATGACAAATATAATAATACTATATTGTCAAATTACTTCATTTTGTATCATTTCAATCATTTTTGGGTCAACATTCTTTAGTCTTTTATCAATTTCTTCGTCACACTCAACGTCAGGATTAGGTTTGGTTCGTTTCATGCTGTGAAAGATAGAACATGCTTAAGAAGTAAAAATTATTTGAAGATTTTGATTGTATTGTACATACGAATCTTTATTCCTATTATACTTTATCGTGTCTTTGTTGCCTTCACCATTTTTTAACGGTGAAATGAATTTATGAAATTGATTTGTTTTAGTAATGAATTTCTTTCTAAGTGTTCCAGGTAGATGGTTATTATTAATCAAACGTTGGTCTCTTTGATTTTGTGATAGGTAACGTCCTTTTTGATTTTCAACAGTCTAACAGAAAGCATAATCACTCAGAAGGAGAAATTATAGATTTTAAATAAAAATAGCAACATACTAATCGTTGTTTAGCGGTGACAAAAGAACCTTGTTGTAGTGAAGAAATTTCTTCCTCGTTGTGTTCTTCGTAATCATTGTCATTATAATCGGAAAAAATTTGGTTATTAAATCTTGAAGGACTATCAAGTCTTCGCTTTAATATCAATGAAAATAATAAAATAAAAATTCTGAGAAAAACAACGAAGTTAATAAATTACTAAAAATTAAATATTCGTACCTTTTTCAGATCTTCTGAAAATTCTTTGTCATTATCAAATCTAATTCCACAATTATTATTATAATTTAACGATGGAGAATGGTAATTCTTTCTTAAATTAGAGTAATTGATGTACGGACTTGAAGGTCTTTCTTGCTGTGGTGTAATCGACGGTGGTTGAGGTAATTCAGCAAATTCACTCTCATTAACTTTTGTTGGAGCAAGATTACATGTTGAAAGATTCGGTCTACATGAAGTTGTCTCTTTAGCGTAATTTAATAATAGACTCAACTCTGATTGTTCCGTGACATTATATTCACCATCAACGAATTTTTGCTAAAAAAAAAAAAATCTTAAAAATATTTTATATAAGTAAAATGATCAAATTTTTAATATCTTACTGAATTTGCATTATCATCTATCAATGACGAATTAAGTTCATTATTATTAATAATAATTTTGTTTTCCATGGATTGCTGAAGCCTTTTATTTACTTCTTTTTCAATAAGTGCGTTTATATTTGGTGAAGTAATATTATTATCACTTTCTTTACTCTCACTTCCGATCCAATCATATTTGTTCCATACTTCTTCCATTAGTTGTTGTGTTTCAATATGAGACGGATAATCCGGATTTTTATTAATTAATAAAGAAAGTGCTTTGCGATAATTTGTAACTTTATGATTATGTAATGTTGGCGCTTCATGATATTTAGACATAGGAGCGACAATATGATGGTTTCCACCAGTGTATAAGAATTTTTCGATGTAATGTTTTTTTAAATAATCTTGTTGATTCATAATTTTTTATCGATAGGAGAGAAATTTACAAGAGATTTGAAGATAATATTTGGAAAAAAAAGTATAATTTAAAGTTTCAAGAAACTCGTTAACAAAGAGATTATGAATAAGTATAACAATTGATATCATTCATATCGAATATTCTAGATAATGAAGATAGCCTCCGAGAATTAACTTTTAATTGTGATAGTGATTTAAGCTTTTTAAATTATACATAATTTAGCATAATAAATAATAGTTGTAAAAGTACTATTCGTATAAATGCCTTGTCTATAATTATATTGCTTTTATATCCAACATCATAACATTTAACATTTACATGACAAGACTGTAGATTAAAAGAAATTTTGAAGTTCTTAGTTACTTATTAAGGAAAAAACCGGAAATCTCCTAAATTTCATAAAAGAATTGATTCTAAAATTTATTTTCTCGGAAATTCTTAGGAATTAATTAATTTGACTAAGGTATCTAACATCTTTGAATGTGAATGTTAAAGAAATATTTTAAATAAATAAAATAGAAAGAACTTCGAACTTATTTAAGCAACCAACCCTCTAAAATTCACAATAGAACTATTCCGATATTTTATTTTCATTTACCAGTCAGCCAACAAATTCTAGTCTTCTAGTTGGATACTTTAATTTTTGTTCGTGTTAGTCAACAGTTCCGTTAAAGTTAAAGTTAAACAGTATATTATTGGATGTTTATTCAACTAACTGTATTATGTTATGTGTTAAATTCAGAAATTAAATTCAAACATGTCATTTATTGGTCCGACTTGCAAAACATATAATATTTGTGTGGTTATATTTATAAATGCCATGATTATTTTCGCTCCGGCTTACAATAAATTCTTTGCTGTTCTGATAATGCGAATAAGCAATTCATTTGTTCATCTTTAAAGATACATAATCATCTTCGATCATTATTATTTGTAATCTTTCTTCTGTAAATGATTTATTGCAATATTCTGAATTACGTGATCACGTTTCAGTCGTTTCACCCATTATCAGACCGCTTATAAACGATTACTCGTAAATTACTATAACCTTGAAGACTCGTTTCATACGAAAAAGACATAGCAATATATCTATTTGTAGCCATTAAATATTTCAAACCAGTAAAAAATCGGCATCTATTTTATAAGAAAACCACAAATTATGAGTTTGATAAACTTCGAAATATATATATATATATAAATAAAGCGAAAGAGAACTTGTTGAATTAAAACTATTTTTATACCATCAAGTGTTTAATCTAAAATGTTGTCTCTATATAAGACTATAACCAAACTCACTGTAATGGATTGGAATAACAATTAAGTAATTTTATAACAAAAAAATTTTTTGTTTCAACATTTCGAGTTTATAATTTTACAATTAAATCATTTAATAAACAAGAATTATATAAAACTGTTATCTTCGTATACAGCTGTTTAGCCAATAACATTTCGCAAAAAAACACCGAAAATGTCAGTCACGTTACTCTGTCTTTTCAAAGGAAATACACTCGCGAACGCTTTCCCTGTTCATATAGATAGTAACCAGCTTGTTGGGGGACCTCAAAAGCGAAAAAACAAACTTTTCATGGTAGATGCTGACGAAATTAAGCTGTGGAAGGTGGCGATCACCTTGACGATCAGTGAAGAATCAATCTTACATTCCATGACAGTAACGAGTTGTCAGCAATAAACGAAATTGGAGACTACTGGACCGAGAAACCGTCTAAGAAGAATATTCATGTAATAGTTGAACCACCCGTGACAACTTCTGCTTCGAATGAGGTATTGAGAAACTCGCTTCGTTGCAGGCATTACTCAACAAGTCTGTCCATGGTTTGTCAAGAAATCTTCAGGTTATGAAACCGTTTCCTCGGGAAACGATGTTTCACGTCAATTACTTAAAGCAGAGTTTGATGTCGTCGTTAGTCCGAAACGGAAGCCAAATAAGTGGACTGCAAATATCGAACATGCGACTCTCGAAGGCCTCAAAGACTATATACGTGAATTGTACAAACCACCAGCGCTTGAAAATGATGGGGCAGTACTAAACTTTATGTGTGATGGGGATAGATACTTACCTAGGAACGATGTCGCGTTCCGGGAGATGTTGCAGTCACTAGTGTCAAAAAATAATCTTAGGTTTACTGTGTTCATTGAGACGCCATCAAAATCATTCAACGAGTGGACCTTTCCGAAAGTGTGTGAACTCTACGGTCTTAGCGATGATTCGAATCCTAATACCCCTTTTTCATGCGGTTATGCTGACCTAAGTAGCGAAAAGTCCAAAGCTGTGGTTAAGCATCTAATGGTCGAATTAAAACTTCGTCAAGATGTTACTTCTCTCGACAGGGCATACGATGCAACGAAGACCATTTATTCTTACTGTTACTTAGCTACCGGGTTTCGTTTTACAAAGATAATTTCAAACTCATAGTCTCATACCGGAAAAACTTGTCGAGGGTCGAAATGGGCAAGGAAACCTTGATTATGCAGTAGAATGTCGCTCGACTGGTAGGATTTTATGAAGGGGTTCGCTCGGGCGTCCGTGCAGATGGAGTCAACCTTACACGTAAACGCAAAGCCGAAGTAGATAGGGTGTTTGGGATCGTTGCCGACGCGTCCGAATGGTACTTTATGGAATGTTCGCTAGATAATGAGGGGAAGCCATCGTTTAAGCTATCGGAACCAGTGACTGTCGTGTACAAAGACGAGAATTTACAAACTAAGGTGGAAAAGGACCTCGGACATATTGTATGGTTGTTGGAAGAGGCGCAGAAGCCGATGAAAGCTTCTCAAAGTGGTGAGGATCTCGGAAAATAAAAAGGACAAAGTCATTAAACAAAATCGCGGAGAAGTAAGTTAGCATAGCGGGCCAGATGTTAAAATCATGTATCACGGGAAATAACCCGAACAATTGAAAGCATTGGAGCATTGCTATTGACATATTCTTCGGAAAGACATTCACCTTCTCTATTACGCGCGATTTCCTTAGCAATATCTAAAGTTAATTTTGCCATTAACATTTTATGCCATTTTTTCAAAAGTTGACAGACGTATACTTATGCTTTATTTCTCCCTTTAAACATCCGCTACTCCGATATCTTTTTACATTTACTTTTATTTCCTTTTTCGCCGTTCCTTTATCATGCAAAAATATAATAAAAATGCTTTACTTTTCCACTGATGACGCTCCAAAGGAGCTGATTTTTAAACATGTGTGCGTGTTTTCGAGTGTATGATCGAAAAAATAATGTTTTGTTAATACAGACCGCAGGATAAAAAAATAAATACAAATCGGGACATTACGCCCGTGATACATGCGAAAATATGTATGGTCTGCAAACCTTAATTGCGTAAAGAATAGCAAAACATGGTGCCCGTGGTGTGCAGTTGAAAATCGTCGTACACGAACGGTTGAATATATGAGGAAGTCTGCGGAAAAGAAAGGAGGTCTTTGCTTTCAACTGAGTATGTTAATAGACGGGATTCTCTTGAATGGCAGTGTAAAGAAGGCCATAAGTGGAAGGCTTCAGTAAAAGATATTCTTAAGGGAACTTGGTGTCAAAGGTGATATGTGCCTTTCTACGGAATATATAAATCTCTGTGTTCCAATGATGGATGTGTAACAAAGGCCATAAATGGTTCGCCAGTTTTAATGGTATAAAGCATGCCAAAACATGATGCCCATATTGCTTAAATAAGCAAGAAAACCATCCACCGACCGGAATCTTGAAAATAACTGAACATCCTCGAGGACTAGAACTCGACATCTACTATCCAAACAACATGAGCAACATGTAAAACACTTTCATAAAAATCAATGTCAAAAGCAGTTGATGCGTGATCAGATCAAAAAAAAAACTCTGTGAAGAAAATTGCATTGCTCTAAGATACGTTTGGTCCATACGTAGTTATCCCAGATCATCTTCGAGAACTGGGCTCGTTGAATAAACTCAAAATTTTAAATGCTTTTGCGATTCACTATTATTTTTTCGACTATAATTTTATTCATCCGGAATCACACGAAGAATCGAATAAAAATTTCTCAAACACACACTACATCGTAAAACAAACCATAAATGCTTGCCTATGTACTGCAAAATGATGTTTCTATAATAATGTCCACGGATCATCAGTTATACTTAGACGGCAGTGACAGAGATAAATGAACTTCATATATGCTCGAAGCTGAACCTTATGAAGGTCGATCACAGCCGAAAAAAATTCATGCTCTAGCGTAATCGCTTCATTCGGAAATTTCGTCTCATATCATAACAGTTTTGTTGTTAATAACATTACATCATTTTTTTCAGATTGGCAAATCGGGGTTCACACTTCACAGTGGCAAACGACTTAAATTCTTGACCCGCAAAATTTATTATACAATAAGCTGATCAAGGTAGTAACACCAGGAATGTAATATTTATTTCACATCACGTTGCGCTTGGGTGGTTGAGGGCCGTCATAATTATTAATTAGTATAGACACGTATTTATTTTCCGCATGTATTACGGGGTACATATATTATTTTACTCGCTCGTGTATTAATAAAGTTTCTTCACATTTGCCGCATAACATTGAACATTTCCTGTCGTGTATAAAATTTCCATAATGTCACTTAGCGAAGCAATCCCATCCGAGCTTGAAGTATTGAGACGGCGTTAGGCCGCTTGAGGCTAAGAATGTCGAGCAATCGAGCAATCCAACATTAATTTCCAATTTTGGGTATCCGAAATGACGCGATTTTCTAATTCGACCTTTCTCTTTGACATACTATCGTTAAGCCAACCTTGATGTTTTTTAATAATAGAAAAACGCGAATAAAATAACGTAATTTTAAATGATTCAGTTAAATTCCCATATTCCCATTCCATGTGCGGTAGGAATAAAGTATAAAAGAGCCTTATTTTCCAACTGTGAAAAGACCTATTATCTAAAAAAATCTGACATTGACCCACCAGTAAACACACTCAATAAATATCAAATATCTAATATGTCCAGTTTAACATCATTCAGCTCTTCCACTTTTGGCCTTAACCGCTGTTTTTTTGCATGTGTCACTAAAATCGCTGAAAAAAATTAATTCACGTGATGCAGTCTACGCCACAGAGGCGCAGAAAATCTTAACAACGTAGGTGTCTCAATATACAGTATCAATCATTTTACAAGATAATAAAGTTTCACACTAAATTCAGGCTTGTATTTTTTAACGAGCCCAAATATTTTAAATGTATTGTATACAATAAGTGTTTATTTATTAGCATAATATGACAAGCAATAATAAAATATAGTTATATTTAGCATACTTGGGTCGGAGAGTAATTTTCTTCACAACTAAGATATCGGAAATACTCAGGAGGAACTTGACATCACGTCTACATTGATCACAGGGATTTAACCAAATTAAACTTGAGAAGAGTCTTTTGGCTTTTAAACTTTCTAATCTGTTCTTATGCAGAACCTTTTATCGAGGATTCAAAAAATTTTGTGCTGTTGTCTATAATCTGATCAGATATTATTCCTCCTTATTACATATAATAGAGATTTAAGGTTATTTTTTAATAGAATTTCTTCTAGTTTTTTCTGCGTTTTGAGGACTCACATCAACTGCTGTTGTTGTACGACGTGAACGGCGTCTAGACGTTGCATCTCTTAATAGTTCAATTATTCGTGTGTTGAGATATTCAACACGAGCCTGTTTACGAAGAAGATTATGAATTCAGATGTGTGAAAAAATATTATAGCAATTGTGAAAACTAATTTACCCTGAATGATAACAAATCTCTAATAATGTACTCTAATAAATATAATTGAGCCGGAGTGACGCGTATAGCAATGGTATTTTTTAGTTATCGTATAATAGTTAACTTTAATTGTATTAATTATTTAACATATATAATTGGTTTCAAAGTTGGATATCGAATCCTATAGGTAAGTTTCAAAAATAATTTTCAAAACTTTTATTCTATTATAGGGAATCGGTTATAACGAATCCCATAGGTTAGTTTCGAAAAATTATCCGGTATCGTAAACGAAAAAAACTCATCAACAAGATATGCTCCATCATAATAATTCATAGCAAAAAAAGCGAAATCCCTCCCTTAAAAAAAAAAAGAAGTTTAGTAAGTATATAGTATATAGTTTGATGATCACAAACATGCAAAAAAAATGTTACTTACTATCAACTAGGATTCCAAACGTTTCGATCATTTGCCGGAGTTTTTTTTCGTCAACTACTCCTTTTTCTCTTCTAAACGAAAAAATGACAAGCGCATTGCTATTCAAAAAATTGCGTATCATGAGTTCTCGTGTATTTAACATATAGAAATGCTTTGAATTCTTACCTTTTAATATCTTTTGTAGGTCGCCAATTATTTTTTTATGATCTTTAACAATAGCGTTACCTACTACTTCAAGAAAACCGACCTGTAAGTTATTGCCATTTATGTTAATCTTTATTATTCCGTCATGGAACCAGCCCGTAGGTCTTCGATCTTCTGGGAGTTTAGATAAATCTTTTTGATTTTTACGGTCGGTGTTTTCTATTTCGCCACTATGGAAATATATCATTTTTAGCCATTTCATATATAAAAAAATAAAAAATAGTATATAAAACTTACGATAACATTGTTTGTGTCAAGGAAAAGGTCTTCGCATAACAAATTCACAAACCAACTTCGATATTGGTATTCGCTGATTGATTCGTCGTTTAGAACATGCTTCGAGAGTTGAAAGCATGTCAAACTACAAACATAAAAGATTAACAAAAATATAATAACAAACAGCAGTAAACAGAAGTAAACAGCCGACAATAAACAACAGGAGCTTAGGAACTTACAATTTTTGGTACACGTTGTCGACCCATTTTTACAACCAATGTTTCCGAAATTTGTACTTTGTTTGGTATTTAGGGACAAAAAAGACCGAATCAAGATCTACGTAGACACCATCTGTGGCATTATCTATAGATTCATTATACTCCTTTAGAATTTGTTCAACTTTATCTAGCGGAGGAACGATTTTCGCGCTAATTTCTATATCTTTCTAAAGTCATAATGTAATATCTCGTTAACAACTGCTACCATATAACAAATATCAAGTGAGATATTCTCTTACCTTACAAAAGATATTTTCGAAATTTCTCCATTCATAATCACTAAATTTACTTCGCAAGATATCGTTTTTGTGGCATTCGGGAAGGAATATAACACTGTACCGCGCAATTCCTTCACCAATCTCGGATAGCTTCTTAGCTGTAACACTGTTTGCGACTGATGGTAGCTCCATGCAATCGTCTGACATACTTTCATCAGTATCGCTTATATTATGATCTTTCTTTTTTCGCTTTGAGTTCTGGAAAAGGTAAAAAACAATTTCACAAAATACATTGAGAGCTTTGTAGGGCTGGGGAAATTACGCGGATAAATTTTGCTTATAACCTTACCTTTTCTGGCTTTGAGGTTTCCTGTGACCGCTTACGTTTCGTATCTAAGATACTCCCATTGTTGATGCTCTCAATCTTGTGAGAATCCCCATAAAAATTAACTGAATGTACAGCTTTTTCGCAAGTAGTATGGTCCTTCTCCCAATTTTGGCGACGAACTCGATCCGGTCGAGAACCCTAACAGTGCAAAATTTGGAAATTAATATTTTTTAATGTTCACAACTGACTGTTCATGATTTCCTTTACTTCTCCCATCAGGTCGAGTTTAAATCTTGAACGTCAGACGAAGTTAAAATCCATCTGCGCCCTGTGGGGTCAGTATTGGGTCGAGTTAAATTCTTGAACGTAGGCAAAGTTAAAATCCACCTGCGCCCAATACCAACTTCGTGGCTCGCGTTAAAAGCTTGAATGACAGAAATCTTAAAGGTCCCTGCCACGCCACCAATTATCTATTTTAATCAAAAAGTTTTTGAAACTTGCCTGCTTATAGTTATTATATAGCTGTTGTGCTCGTTTTCGCCTTGAGTTATCTTATTCAGTATTGATGATTGTTTCGAGGGATGTAAGATAAAAACCTATTCTCTGACTTACAGGTTCCTGGTCGTATTCATCTAGGAAGTCCAAAATATCCCAAGCTGAAGGTTTTCTTTCGAAGTACTCGTGTACGTAAGGCATGTTAGAAAAAAGTTAAAACGATAAATTATCAAATCGATTGATTAAATGTAATTGTCCAGTGACCATGATGTAATTTATTATAAGCTTCTTGACCGGTTTTTATGTCGCACGAACAAGTCGGGTGATATCCATATTACGTAATTGCACGTGACATTTATCAAGAAAGAATGATTTTACAAAAATAACGACCAAGAAACGGCCCGGAAGCCCCGGCTTACAGTACATAAAAAAGAATAGAAGTACACTCAGTTAGCACTTCCTACAGAAAATTCAAGATGATTACGTCTGTAATGCTCAATAGCCTCTTTAAGATTTCTATTTAGAACAAGTTGACTAATTTTTATTTCTTGTGTAAAAGGGTCACGACAATCATCATCTAGCCAAGTCTCGATTGAGCTTCTTTCGTAAGAGTGCCCACTTTGCGTCATCACGGGATCCATCATCCAGTCTTTTATTATAGGACACATATACTGACTTGGAATAAAGGGGGACGCTCTTACACTTTTCACTCGTTCAACAATTTTACAACATCGAAGAGCAAGAGAAGTCCAATACGGAGCCTTAAACTGGGGTTTCTCCGCTTTAAGCTCATCGATAGCTTTCTGGATACGTTGCCCATAACAAACTTCTTTAATTAAATCTTCGATAGTTTTAAAACCTGCACGAAGATGCACTTCCATTGTTATTTCTCCAACGCCATCAATTGTTCAAAGGGAATTGCTAATATTTTTTGGTGGGTAAATTAAAATTCAATAATATAAATATATAATAGTAGTGTAATTAGTCGCGTCGTGATGTTGAGCTATATTAATATGATTGCTCAATACATGTAACTACCTAGTAACTACCAGAAATTCTTCGATCACGTGACAAATTTTGCCGATCATTTCCTAAAACATCACCAAAACCATTTTACATGCTCTACTGGTAATCTTTGGCTTATATATATATTTTTTCAAAATGAATTTTGACAATACATGTTTGCTCGGTGCTCTCCGTTCTCTCTCATTTTTACCACCAAAGGTGACATCACCTTGTAGCGGTTTGTTAGAGTACTTTTGATTTTAGTTATTGATTTCTTTGTAAGTTGTAAAAAAAAGAATACATGTATGCTACGTCATGATACTCTCGATACTCTAAGAAGCAGAGAATTGGAAACTAACATTATTTCAACTATGTTTAGAAAACAATCTAATCTTAGCTCACTGTTTAATGATTGGAAAAAGTCATTCGAAATTATCATAACAAATAATAAAAAAATTCCGGTCATTGTACCCTTAAACGTCAGTACTTCTGAAGGCTCGTCAGTCATATGGAATGGTACGACGACTTCCATATCGATACTTTGATCTGCAACTTTCCAATATATAAAGAAAGATATACTCGTCTCAAACATCAGAATTATCATGAGGAAAACAAACAAAAAATAGATGGTACAGAATAATGGAAGAATCAACAGACTGAAATCAACGAAAGAATCAATTCTCTTATCTGATGAATCATGTTAGTTGAATCCATCTATGAATTGATGTAAGCTTTCTTTTATAATCGAGATTTATAATTATGTTGATTCAATTCTATTAATAGGCAAAAATTGAAATTAAAATTATGAAATCTCAAATATGAACATTGTTTCTTAGAACCATTTTTTGTAAATGGAATTCTATGGAATCAAAGTTATAATTGTACTGATAATGTGCTTTAAAGCAAGATAATTTTTGGTAAGACATCTCTGAGAAGCTTGGAAGATATCAAAATAAGACTCCCAAGATACGCCATATTATATCGTAAGCTTTTTTTTATTATTTTAGTTTTAGTATTCTCTAAACATTTACTGTTCTTAAACTTTAAATTTTGTTTAATGTATTAGATTGAGTTACTGGAGCATTTTCTAGATTTTGCCGATCACGTCCACTGATCTCCAGAACCTAAATATCTCCAAAATATTTTGAATCTAGTTTCCTTCTAAGATTGGGGAGATTGATGGTTATATAGCGTTTGAAAATCTTCACATGAGCATTCAATATGCGTAAGAATTGGCTCATCAGTTATCTATTCGAGGTTGGGTTCTCTGATATTAAGAATACGATTTTTTTGTTCTCTTATCAGGATATGTCATTTCTACAAAGGGTGCTAAGACCGAATAATCACCCAAATTTCTCTTTTTAATGCAGTTGTGGAGTTCTGCAATAAGGAAATACTTGACTGTAATTATGGGATAACAACGTGTTCAAAAATTTCGCTGATCGGCAATTCCTTTGCTTTATGCAAATCCTTTGTCAGAACAATCTTGATTTAAGATTAATTGGGACTTGATCAATCATTGTAATGATATATAGCAAATCACTGCATGTTTGATTATAAACTAGAATTTATATTAAAATTAAATAATATCTTTCTGCATATAGGGGTGAAGGTTTAGGTTTAGCTCTAAAGAAGAAAGGAATGATGATACAAATCCTTTCGTTAAGGCTCGCATGGGAAGAAAAGTCAATATGAAAAGGGTATTATTTAGGACACCAATAAATTCGAAGCATTATGCAGAGAGGATATTTTGTAAGTAAACTCTCTCCTTGTGATGATCGGAGAAAGACGATATTGTATACGGTTGGAAGGTATATACGAATTGGGCTGTATATCACGAATAGATTATTTTTGAGTTAGAAGTATGTAATTTGGTCTTATCCTGTTATAATCAACACACGATCCCAATTTATCTATTTTATGTAGAGGAAATTGTCTGAAACAGAAGAAACACTCGTCGGAAAGCACAACTGATTTGCATAAGCATCTTCAGTGCTATAAAAAAAAGAAAAATGCAAAATAAATAAATCATCTTTATATCCGTCTCATAAATTTCCGCTATTTTATGTGATGTAGAATGAATTGGTAGCATACAACTAATATATATGATAGACACTATTTATTTGTCTATTTGCAATTTCATGTGTATCTCTTATTTTTTATTGTTCCATTATTTATATTGATGTATCTTTAAAGTAATCAAACGAGCTTACAAAAATTACAAGATTCTGAATCATTAGCAACAAGTTTGGGAATGCGTACGATAACACTTCACGTGACAAGTTTTAAGTATAGGCTAGACCTTCATGTAAATTTAGAGGTGGGATCCGGATGAATCCGATCTAAACAATCCGATCAAAAAAAACAGATCATCCGTAATTTTTTTTAAAAAAATTGCATATATTACACGTGATTAAAAAAATTTTTTTTTATTGATCTCGATCTCGATAATTTTTAAGTAAAAGTTTTTTTTTTTCGTTAGCTATCGATTTAACAAAAATTAATCGTTTACTGCACAAAGACTAGAGCTTTTGTTTTTATATGTTTCGTAAAAGACGTGTCTTACTGGAGTTTTGGTTTGCCAAGTTATTTGTAAGTTGCGTGTCGTCTTTGTTGCTTTCTTTAAATCAAACTAATAATTTCTTAAACAAGGTTTTTCTAAAATAAAAACTTCCACAAACCAGTTTTTTACGTATTAACTATGACAAATATAGAAGATAACTCTTCAATTTCGAATGTAATACAAATAACGGAAGTATCAACAATAGTGGAGAACAGTAACAGTAGCAGTGGAAAAATATCTTCACCAATAATAGTTTCAAACACTATTATTAATAACCACCGCAATAATAATCATTTATCATCACCAAGATCTCCAACACCGCCAGTAACAACTTCAACCTCTGGCAATAATACACTAGCAACCTTAGTACTTAAAGATGGTAGTTGTTTTCAGGGATTTTCATTTGGTGCAGAAGTAAAAAGTGTATCAGGTGAATGCGTATTTCAAACTGGAATGGTTGGGTATCCAGAATCCTTAACCGATCCATCATATAGAGGACAAATATTAGTATTGACATTTCCACTAATTGGAAATTATGGTGTGCCATCCCGTGATGAGACGGATGATTTAGGCTTAAAAAAATACTTTGAATCAAATGAAATTCATGTAACCGGTTTAATTATCGGACAATATTCTCAGGATTTTTCTCATTATTTGGCTAAATCTTCTCTATCTGACTGGCTTAAAGAAAATAATGTTCCTGCTTTATATGGAATTGATACTCGTGCTCTTACTAAAAAAATTCGTACCAAAGGTGTTTTGTTGGGTAAAATACTTTTCCCAAAACGTGTGGTGGGTGATAATTTAACATCACTTTCAGTTGATAATATATCCAAACAGCCTTGGATTAATGACTATCAAGACGTCCCCTGGATTGATCCAAATGATAGAAATCTCGTTGCTGAAGGTTTATACCCACATATATTTTTTTGCACTATACTTTAGTGCGATATATAACATCATAAATTTTATCATTAAATCAGTTTCGATCAAGGAACCAAAGTTATATACACCTGATCCAGCAAAAACTATTAAAGGATCCAACGGTAAAACGTTGCGCATTTTAGCGGTGGATGTTGGTATGGTTAGTATACCAAATTACATTGTCTGTGTGACAACCTTCATGTTTATATTGATAATTTTTTCTGACTATTCTTTAGAAATTTAATCAAATTCGGTGCTTTGTAAATCGTGGTGTAGAAGTCAAGGTTGTTCCTTGGGATTATGACTTCAACAAAGAGAAAGATTATGATGGTTTATTTATTAGGTAAATAAATATCAAAAGTAATTTTAACTTCCTATTATAATTTGATTTCTAATGTAAACATGTATAACATTCAAATAGTAACGGTCCCGGTGATCCAACTATGGTTACAATCACTATTGACCATCTTAAAACAGCATTGCAAGAGGCTAAAACTCCAATTTTCGGGTAAATACTTATATTAATTTAAACTTGAATTTAAAATTTTTTTTTTTTTTTTAATTATGTTCTTATATTTTTATAAAGAATTTGTATGGGACACCAGTTGTTAGGTATAGCATCCGGTGCTCAAACAATAAAAATGAAATATGGTAATCGCGGTCACAACATTCCGTGTACAGATATGATTTCAGGTCGTTGTTATATTAGTTCACAAAATCATGGGTATGCAGTTAACGCGGAAACGTTATCAGAAGATTATTTGGAATTTTTTGTAAATGCAAATGATGGATCTAACGAAGGAATTATACATAAAACACTTCCAATATTTTCTGTGCAATTTCATCCTGAATCAACTCCAGGACCAAGAGATGCAGAATATTTGTTTGATGTGTTTATTGATAGTGTTAGAAAATCTAATATAACCGGAAAACTAGCACCCATTGAAATTCCTGGTGGTACTAAAGAAGAAAATTCAATGAAAAATCCTCGTGTTAATGTTAGGAAAGTATTGGTTTTGGGTAGTGGTGGATTAAGTATTGGTCAAGCTGGTGAGTTCGATTATTCAGGAAGTCAGGTAAAGTATTAGCGTTTTAAATTACGGTTGTAAACGAATTGTTTTTAATTGATTTCTTTTATATTTAGGCTATAAAAGCTTTGAAAGAGGAGGGCATATATACAATATTGATTAACCCAAACATTGCTACTATACAAACATCTCATTCACTCGCTGACAAAGTATATTTCTTACCGGTAAATCCGGATTTTGTTCGTAAAGTTATAAAACATGAAAAACCTGATGGAATTTATGTTACATTCGGAGGACAGACAGCATTAAGTGTAGGAATAAAACTTAAAGATGAATTCGAGGGATTAGGTGTAAAAATATTAGGTACACCAATAGAAACTATTATAATGACAGAAGATAGAGAGTTATTCGCACAAAAAATGTTAGAAATAAAAGAAAAATGTGCAAAATCTGCTTCAGCAACAAATACACAAGAAGCATTATGTGCAGCAAAAGAAATTGGTTATCCAGTAATTTGTAGAGCTGCTTATGCACTTGGAGGTTTAGGTAGTGGATTTGCTGAAAATGAAGCACAATTACGTGACCTTTGTTCAAAAGCTTTTGCTGTTAGTCCTCAAGTTTTAATTGAAAGAAGTATGAAGGGTTGGAAAGAAATTGAATACGAAGTTGTTAGAGATTGTCGTGATAATTGTATTACAGTTTGTAATATGGAGAATTTTGATCCTCTAGGAATTCATACAGGTGATTCTATTGTGGTAGCACCTTCTCAAACCCTTTCGGACGAAGACTTCAATATGCTTCGTTCCACAGCTATAAATGTTATAAGACATCTCGGTGTAATAGGGGAATGTAATATCCAATATGCATTAAATCCTTTTTCAAAGGAATATTGTATTATTGAAGTAAATGCTCGATTATCAAGGTCATCTGCATTGGCGTCAAAAGCTACAGGTTATCCGTTAGCTTTTGTAGCAGCAAAATTAGGATTGAGTATCCCATTGAACGAAATTAGTAATTCAGTAACGAAAGTTACTTGTGCTTGCTTTGAGCCAAGTTTAGATTATGTCGTTGTTAAAATTCCAAGATGGGATTTAAAGAAATTTACTCGTGTTAACAAGGCATTAAGTTCTTCTATGAAATCTGTTGGTGAGGTTATGAGTATTGGAAGAACATTTGAAGAAACTATACAAAAAGCCATTAGAGCCATTGACTTTGGGTTCTTGGGATTTAGTCTTGTAAGTAATCTTGTTGATTATAATTCTATTTTTTAAAAAAATTATTTATATTTCTTTTTTACCCAGAATGATTTAGTTGATTCTATTGATGAAGAACTTGTAAATCCTTCAGATTTAAGATTATTTGCGATTGCAAATGCCTTACATCAAGGATACACAGTTGACCAAATATGGGAATATACAAAAATCGATAAATGGTTTTTACACAAATTAAAAAATATTGTAGAATTAGAAGCAAAATTAAAAAAATTTCATCATTATGATATTACAAAGGAGGTTATTCTTAGTGCCAAACAACTAGGATTTTCCGACCGTCAAATAGCAAAAGCCATTAATAGCAATGAATTGGCTATTAGAAGAATTAGACAAGAATATGGAATTATTCCTTTCGTTAAACAAATCGATACAGGTGCGTTATAAAGAAAAATTAAATTATTAATTCAAAGAAACCTAACGAATCTTCATTTGTTTTTAGTTGCTGCCGAATTTCCTGCTCATACAAATTACCTTTATGTAACCTATAATGCTATAGAGCATGATATTAATTTTGAAGAAAGAGGTGTTATGGTACTTGGATCTGGAGTTTATAGAATTGGAAGTTCGGTAGAATTTGATTGGTGTGCTGTTCGCGCAATTCGTACATTACGCGAACATGGTATAAAGACGATCATGGTTAACTATAATCCGGAAACTGTTAGCACAGATTACGATGAGGCCGACAGACTCTATTTCGAAAATATTACTTTAGAACGTGTATTGGATATCTATGAAATCGAAAGTTCTTGTGGTGTAATTATTTCTATGGGAGGTCAAATACCAAATAATATTGCATTGCCACTTCACAGGCAAAATGTAAAAATTTTAGGCACATCACCCGAAATGATTGATACAGCAGAGAATAGATATAAGTTTTCGCGTATGTTGGATCAAATTGGAGTTGATCAACCGGAATGGAAAGAGTTAACGAGCTATGAGGAAGCTCAAGAGTTTTGTGATAAAGTACAATATCCCGTACTTGTTCGACCATCTTATGTATTATCTGGGGCTGCTATGAATGTAGTTTATTCTTCGGATGACCTTTCAAATTATCTTAATCAAGCAACAGCGGTTTCGCGTGATCATCCCGTCGTTATTTCGAAATATATTGAAGAAGCGAAAGAAATTGAAATGGACGCTGTTTCACTCGATGGGAAAATGGTAATGCACGTTATATCAGAGCATGTTGAAAACGCTGGAGTACATTCGGGTGATGCTACACTTGTTTTACCTCCACAAGATCTTGATCCTGAAACAGTACGTAAAATTGAATCAGCAACACAAGAAATCGGTAATGCTCTTAATGTTACAGGACCTTTTAATATTCAATTTATAGCAAAAAATAATGATATTAAAGTTATTGAATGTAATGTTAGAGCTTCTAGATCGTTTCCTTTCGTAAGTAAAGTAATAGGAGTCGATTTAATTGAAATGGCTACAATGGGAATGATGGGATTGCCTATTGAACCTTATCCAACTATAACCTTACCAAAAAATTACGTTGCTGTTAAAGTTCCACAATTTAGTTTTAGTAGATTATCCGGAGCTGATCCTGTTCTTGGTGTAGAAATGGCTTCAACAGGGGAGGTTGCTTGTTTTGGCAGAGATAAATATGAAGCTTACATTAAAGCTTTAATTTCTACTGGAATTACAATTCCAAAGAAAAATATTTTACTTTCAATTGGATCATACAAAGAAAAGAATGAAATGTTACCTTCGGTACAAAAGCTTCACCAAATGGGATTTCATTTGTTTGCTACCTCTGGTACAGCTGATTATCTTCAAGAACATGGATTACCTGTAAAATATTTAGAAACTTTAGATGAAGCTGAAGATAAATTGAAATCAGAATATTCTTTACAAGTACATTTAGCAAATAATTTAATTGATTTATATATTAATTTACCATCTAAGAATAAATATCGTCGTCCGGCAAGTTATATGAGTAAAGGATATAAAACACGTAGAATGGCAGTAGATTATGATATTCCTTTAATCACAAATGTCAAATGCGCGAAATTATTTGTAGAAGCTCTTTCGCGTAAAATTGATTTTGAAATATTAAATATTGATTATAAAACTAGTCATAAAAGAGTTACACTACCTGGTCTAATTAATATCTCTGCTTTCGTCCCTCATGTCACTGAGCAAAATAGTGATGAATTCGCTCAAGTAACAAAAGCTTCTTTAGCTGCGGGTTTCACCACAATCAATATTTTACCCATAGGAAGTACGGATTGTTTACAAGATGCGCGTACTATTGCTATAGCGCACAGTAACGGGAAATTTAATGCACATTGTGATTATTCTTTATCCGTAGCTGTTACTGAAAATAATAGCTCTCAATTAACAAAAGTCGTGCCGGATGCCGCATCATCATTTATTCCGTTTACAACCCTTCAAGGGGCAACTATACCAAAGATTGCTACTGTATCAACTCACTTTAGTACTTGGCCTTTACTTTCTCCTATTGTAACTGATGCCAAAGGAACGGATTTAGCATCTGTTTTATTGTTGGCTAATTTATATAATCGTGCTGTACACGTTACGAGCGTTAGCACTAAGGAAGATATTGTGTTAATAGCTTTAAGCAAAGAAAAAGGATTAAAAGTTACTTGTGATGTTGCTGTTTATGCATTGTTTTTGAATACGAATGAAATTCAAAATAGTGAGAATTTACTCCCAACTCCCGCGGATCAAGCCGCTTTATGGGAACATTTGGAGGATATTGATTGTTTTACTGTTGGTACTTTGCCTTATAGACTTGCTCAAGCACTTGGTAAAAATAGTACGGCAAGTACAGGAATAGAAGATACTATACCATTACTTACAAATTCTATTAATGAAGGCAAATTGACTTTGGATGATATTCAAAAACGACTTTATACAAATCCGCAAAAGATATTTGATATACCAGAACAACCAGATACTTATGTTGAAGTTGAAATTGATCGTAAAGTTGTAATTACAAAAAAAGAAGAAAATTGGTCGCCATTTATTGGTAAGACGCTTGTTGGTGCAGTAAGTCGTGTGGTATTAAGAGGGGAAACAGTATTTCTTGATGGCGGATTATTTTCTTCTGGTAATAATGGTAAAGACATATCAACTTTAACTCATGTTATTGCTAAAACTCCTGCTGTTAAAGAATCCTTATCTGTTAAAGAGTCAATAACTCAAACACAGCAACAAGAAGTGGTCCCTGCACAAACTTCTCAATTTGTTGCTAGTAATATAACTGATGTTATGTCACCCCCTATGGGGCCTAGAGAATTTAGATCAAATTCAATAACATTAGACTTTTCTGAACTTCCTCATTCTATTTTAACCACGTAAATATTAATTGAATTTATTTTATCCATTTTTAATGATAATAGTAATTGACTATTTTTTCCAATTTATTTTTAGAAATATAACATCTATCATTAGTCATTCTCCATTTTTCCGTAAGAATATACTTACGGTTAAGGATTTTACGCGAAATGATCTTCATTTATTATTTAGTGTTGCTCATGAAATGCGTACATTAGTAGAACGTTATGGTTCAATTAATTTATTACAAGGACGTGTGATGTTTACTTTATTTTATGAACCATCAACAAGAACTTCAGCTTCTTTTGAAGCTGCTATGAATAGATTAGGAGGGCGTGTTGTTTCTATTAAAACAGATTCTTCTTCAGTAACAAAAGGTGAATCATTAAGTGATACTATAAGGACTGTTGGCTCTTATGGTGACATTATAATATTGAGACATCCAGAACCAGGTAGTTCAAAAACCGCTGCAAAATATTCCCCTGTTCCCATAATAAATGCTGGTGATGGTACCGGAGAACATCCAACTCAGGTATAAACCTAGCAAATTCGTTATTTTAGAAATCATATTTTATTTTTGAATTTTTATTTAATTTTTATAAATATCTTTAGGCTTTCCTTGATGTATATACAATTCGAGAAGAATTAGGTACCGTTAATGGATTAACAGTAACGTTATTAGGTGATTTAAAGAATGGAAGAACGGTACATAGTTTAGTTAGGATATTATCAAAGTATCATATAACGTTGAACTATGTTAGTCCAGCATCATTACGTATGCCAGATGATGTTAAAAATGAAATTCGTAAAAGTGGAATAAATCAAAGAGAATACACCGATTTACATGAAGTTATATCTGATACAGACGTATTATATGTAACTAGAATACAACGCGAGCGTTTTATGGATTTATCAGAATATGAAATGGTTAAAGATGCTTATATTATTAATAATGCTATTTTAAGTAATTCTAAACCACAAATGATAGTTATGCATCCTTTGCCTAGAGTTAATGAAATTGATCACGAAGTAGATTTTGATGATAGAGCTGCTTATTTTAGACAAATGAGGTATGGAATGTTTGTTAGAATGGCTTTATTAGCTTTGGTAAGTTTCTTTACAATTTATTTTTTTTTTTTTTTTCATGAAAATGTTCTTTTTGTAATTAACAAATTAATTATAATTATTTAGATATTGGGTAAATCAAATTAAAATAATCAGTAATCAAGTTATTCAAGTAACAATTTTAATAATCAAATATCTGTGGAAATGGAAATAATATTTGTACAATTTATGGAAAAAATTAAATTAGCTAAATAAAAAGTATTATTTGTTATTTTTAATGCGCTTTCGTCTCCTGAAAATAAATAGTTTCCTAGTTTGTCACAATAACTAAGATATTTAAATCTGGCGAACTTTATTAAAATCAGATTTGCGTAAGGAAAGAAAAGAAAAATAGAAACAGTGATATAAAAAAGAGAATAATTCAAATTTAGGATTGAAGAAGCCCACAATAAAATGTTTGATTCAAAAATTAAAGTTGCGGCATATCGTTGCCAAAATGTGGTAGGTTGGAACTTTCCTAACGTAATCATAGGTACTGCTGATTATCTAGGATAAATTATTTTTAAAATCATACTTTCTATATGAATTCTCGCAATTACTTATCCGGATACTTTTCAATGTAAAAAAAATATAATTATTGAAGATAAAAATTTAAGTTACTGAATATAATCATTGTGTTTATATTTATTAATTTAAATAGAAATGTAATAATAAATTCTATTTCCATTTGCAACAATAACTGCTTCAATTCTAAAGATATTGTTAATATTGTTAGTAATTGATTTTTTATAATATATTCCAGAAAAATATTTTAATTTTCAAGTACTTTATCACGAAATTTAATAAGATATAGTAAGTATAATATTGCATAAGATAAGCTTTATTGTTTATGATTATGGGTTCTATACAATTGTAAATACTATGCAAGTTAAAAATCATGTATTTTGGTATCCAGTGTTTTATGATTTTAGATTCATCACATTCGTCTCATTGAAAGGATTTGAATGATAATAATTTTATACCATAGTGCGCTGCATACAGTATCTCCCTGAAAAGGTATCCCCTTAAGTAGTACCCTAGTAATATTCAACTAAAAGTTTTTGGTATTTTTGATATTACCAGTACTAATTTAGGCTAAAATTTAAATCCCTGTCCGCCTAGTAATGAGAGATAAAAAGAAAGAGAAAGCTTAATATTAAATGTGAATAAAGGTTGAAGACTGATACTTGTATTTCGCGAATTCTTGCAGAAACCTCAGCCTCTTTTATGTCTACTTTTTTCCTACATCCATTTTGGTCAAATGTCCTCACCAGGCTTCACGGCTTCCTACAAAAATCAAGTTTCGTGAAATTTCCAGAAAAACGAAATATAACTAACACTTTGCAAGTTCATAATAGGATTTAGCGGAAATGTAACTCCTGTCTCTTATACACATCTAGATGTGTATAAGAGACAGATCCTAGCCTGCCCAAAAGGTGATACAAAAATCGATTAGTTAATCCATATAAAATTTTGATCTTAATATTCTCCATCCGATAAACCCGGTTTTTTACTTTGTGTCTACACCATTTAAAAGTTGGGATGCGCTAGAATATTATGACGACTGGTACGCGTCCAAACATCCCTTCAGCAAAGCAAGGTTTGCATTAGCAATCACGCGACAGTTAATAAGCAATATGTTTTGGAGGGCTAACCTTAAAATCGATTTATTATGTATAAAAATCATTCAATTGAAAAACCACATATTTTTTATTATAAACTAAACATCTAAATATTCTATAACCTAGTAATCAAATATAAATAATGAAAAAAAAAATATCAAATATAGGTTTTAATTTTACTTTTTGTTTTCTTTTAATTCTCGTATTTCTTTTAACAACTGTTGTAAGGTCGCGTCAATTGTATTATTCTTCTCTTCAATTGTATCAACCTTCCCTTCAACTTTATCAATCTTCCCATCGACATTGTCAATCTTCTTTTCAAGTTTATCAATCTTTGAATTTGAAATACCTAGTTTTTTTAAATAAATCTTTCTTCATTTCCGGAAATGCATCTGCGTTCCATTCATCTCTGCTAATCAATCTTTTAATTTCTTCACGAGTCCTATCGACATTAGCATAATAATATCTTGATAAACAAATTATTTGAAGTATTAGCAATCAGAAAAAAGTTTTTTTATATAAAAGAAAAAATATACATACATTACTTCGATTTCCAACGTCAGAAATTTAAACCACTTTTACAAAAAAATAGAACGATACTTAAATTAATAAATACCTCTGCCTTCTGCTTTAAATATGAGACCCTCTCATTATCTTTATTAATTGCCATATTGAGTAATCCAATAAATAAATTCATAAGATATACAAAAACCAAGAGTGAAAACAAGATAACCAATATTACAATTGCTTGATTATCTAAATATAACCAATTTGATAACGCACTTGAATCACCTAAAATTTGATAAAAAAAATTACTTTTTTGTAACTAAATGTATTGGAAATTCAAATGATGCATTGATTCTTGACCTACCCGTTAGGAAGGTATACATTGCAAGAAGCGCAGTTCTAAAATCTATAAACATATTTGTATTTTCATCTGGTTTTTGAATAAAAAATGAATCCATGGTTCCATTATTAAATACTTGATTATAAGTAGGAGCTATATTCCAAGGATTATTAGGATCATTATTGTTCGTAAATTGATCAAATGAATAATCGGATCTTGGTAATAATAAAATATAAAACGCATGTGCAAAACTTATTATAATAATAAATAAGACTACTAAAAAATAAATGATCTGTTTTGCAACGTATAATTATTTCAAAATATATACCAAAAGATTCAAATGCTCTAAAAAATAATAAAAATTTTATATCTAAAAATAGACATGAAAAAGAAAACAATTGGATTATATGATCATTCAAATCATTTGTTTGAAGCCATTTAATAGAAGTGATTATTGGAAGTAAATATGCAATTATATCTATATTAGATAATATGATGAATAATATTAATATACAGTTTATTGATACCACCGATCAGTGAAAATCGTGAAATCATTATAACAAAAAATTTACATACCAAATATGTTCCAAAATTCACGAATCCATCTTTCAGGTGAATAAATGAATTGACGAATTTCAAAACTCAAATGAATGAATCCAAGTATAATTGAAGCAATAAAAAGTTGATTTTGAATATTTATGCCAATATATTGCTGAGGAACTGTTGCAGCAACAGTAAAACATCCAAGTAAAGCCATAAATAAAATCCAAATTACCGCATTTCCGTAAGTATTCCATTTAAAATTAATTAGAGCCTCTCCATTCCATGTCTTATAAATATCTTCATTTATTGTTTCAACAAAGGGACTTGGTTTGGGTTTAATTAATTCCCTAAACCATTTATAATCTTCTGGATAATTAATAAATTTAATATAAGGAATCATAAAAGTAATTGATGGTGTAATTGTTGGTGTTGTTAATAGACTTGATATATATTTTAAAGTCTTATTAAAATAAGATTATTAAACAGATTATCATAGCTAAAATCATTAATAAAATAATACTTTGATAATAAATAAAATATAAAAAGCAAAATGGGTAAAATAGGAAAAGTTAAAAATATAATAAAATAAATAAATGAAATATAGTAAATATTATCCTTTATATTATCCATTTTTATATTGCATTTTGTCCATAAAATAGATCGAGTTAAATCAATTAATTGAGGATTTTTGGAATAAAGATGTAAATTCTCTTTATCTTTTATCTTATAAGACTGAGAATCTATAATCATATTCGTCTCTAGGTAATGTAACGGTAATAATACCTAAAAAAATTATTTTGTAAACTTTCACTAAAAAGTATACATTTCTTATAAATTTTATCTATTAATTCAAAATTACGTTCTTTGATTGCAAATAAAAATAATTAACCCCATATCTTAAAAGACTTTCCTTATTATTTATAATATCTAAGATCCATTCATTACACTGTTTAAAACTCTTATCATCTGATAGAAGTAAAGGAGATACTATATGTTCTTTAGATCTATCTTTAGAACAATAATAGATTAAAGAAATTTCATTATTGTTTTCATTAATATGATAAATTAAAAAATCAAGATTTGTAAAATATCATTGTTTTTGAATAACATATATTTTATTATTATATGTAAATAGTTCTTTCCGTTATAATCGTAAATTCTTTTTGGTTCATTATTTTTCAAAAATCCAATCTCAAACTTGTCAGAAAAATAATAGATTTTTTCTTCATACTTATCAGTCGATTTGTATATATATTTTATTTCCCATTTGCCATCTAATTTAAATGTATTTGTCTTATAACATACTTTAGGATCATAATTGTCATCAATCATTTCTGTTTCAATCGTATTATCATAATCTTGAAGATTTTTATCATTTATATCATCTGCATATAATTAAATGAATGAACATTTAAGTCAAGCTTATCAAGATCCTTAAATTTAATTTTCAGAATATATCCATCTAGAATTCCAATTGTGTAATCGATTGAGTTGGCTGTATCTTGAACTATTTTTGATAAACTTATAGTTTCACAGTCTTCCTGATAATATGCCGCAATTGAATTATAGATTTTATTATTTAATAAAGGATGCAAAATATCCAATAAACTAATAAAACTACCCTTGGGTCTCCTCTTGAGTTTGATGTTGTTCTAAATCCTCTTTAGTTTCTACCTGAACTTCTTCAATCTCTTTTGCCTGTAAAGTAATAACAGGAATTTCTAATTCAACTGAATAAATAATAATATTATCATTGATTTTTAGACAAACAAATTTTTCATTGCTGGAAATGATGATATCTTTGAAATGTTTTGGTGACTTTAAATGCAAATGAATAATTGTTAATTATAATGCATAATATATATAATATATACAATAATTTTAAATGAATAACTTTACCTCAATCATTTCCTCGTAACTAAACATACTTGTACTTCTTCCAGTAAGAAGATTCCATTCATGAATGGAATTATTTGAAGATCGTAAATAAAGTTTACTGTATTTTGATATACCAACAAATATAAAATCTTCAGGTATCTCGTACATTCTTTTACATGTCCATTCGTTATTATTTGATTGCGTGGAGTAAATCCTAACCATAATATTATGCCGTTCTCTACTACTTAAAACGTAACCAATCACAATAAATTCCTTTTTTAAATCAAAGGTGCAATACAAATGTTTAAATTTGTAATCCAAATCTAGTTTAATAGTTTCTTTGGTGTTGTTCATATTGACTATTCCTAATAAATTGTACAAAAACATTAGTTACTATAATAAATAAATAAATTTGATAACTGTTATTTACCTATAGATTGGTAGTTGCGAGGAGGAGGTTGAGTATAGTGGTAACTAAATGCAAATTTTTTATCATCGGAAACACACATTTTTACTCTTTCGTAAAGACAAAAATTACGATTATTAAAACGAAAATTGTCTGGTGTGACTTTGCCTTTATCGATATTCCAACCGTAAACGGTACAATCTTCCAGACTAAAGTAACAAGGTACTTTTCTTCCGGTGATATTTCTATCCTAGTAATAGGTTCACCACTATGTGGTACTATGTGGTGGATTATAATCGATATTATCGATTGTTACGGATACTGCGGATGGTTCACCCATTTTGACAATCAAAATTTTAAGGCTAAAGTTTTTTTTTAAAAAAAAAAAAACGAGTTGAAATATCTGCTGTCCATTATGTTTATATAAAAAAAGCAATACGTTTATTGAAAATAGTTGATCGGGAAATGATAAGAGTGATCAGTCCACATCGTACAGATTTTAAAGTGGTATATTTCTATATATATCATTAACAATGATTATTGATTTCCAGATTACGCCATATTTCATTGATTATATTAAAACATATTGTTCTGAATAATAATTACATTCTATTGAAAATCCCAAAATCAGATTTGCAGTAAAGTATTCAAAAATAAGGTTGTATGATTTAAAGCAAGAATTTAGATGTGTATGCATTTGAAGTTTTTTAATAAACTTATTGGAATAATGCTATCCATTACGTTTATATAAAAAAGTAATACGTTTATTGAAATAATTGATTGGGAAATGATAGAGTTGATCATAATAATAAGTTCACATCATATCTGCTGCAGATTTTAAAGTGGTATGACATTTCTATATATATAATTAACAATGATTATTGATTTCCAGATACAAATGTACGCCATTTTCATTGATGTATTGTTCTTGTTCTGAATGATTACATTCTATTGAAATTAAAGTATTCGAAAATAAAGTTGTATGTCTTAAAGCAAGAATATATATTCTTATTGATGTGTATGTATTTGAAGTTTTTAATAAACTTATTGGAATTGGAAATTCCATTAAAAATATTACTGTAATTGTCATTAAAGATAATCATTGAAAACTTTCAATAAAGGTTTCCAATACTTTAACGGCAATACCAAAGTCAGTAATTTATTAATGTTATTTTTTAAATTTTTTGTTAATAAAAAAGACTTATAAATCATTATTAAGTACAAAATGCACCTATTTACCTTTCATGCAAGAACGAATAAGACCTAAAAGCCCTATCCTAACAAGAAGGAAGCTTAAGTTTTTTCTACTTGAATCTTTGTTTTTCCCTTCTAAAATCCTTTATTATATAACTTTCTTCTAAAATCTTACATTTATTAATAATGTTGATATCCCATATTTAGCAACGTTGTTAATATTCCATATTCTCAACATTTTTGCTGCCCTATCTCTGCTTGTAGGAGGGCCATCATTTTCAGTCAATGGGTTAATACCAAGGCTATTGGGATAACCTAAAAACAGTGAGATGAACCGCTCAAGGTCTGGGTTATTGTAACATTTTATTAACTCCATAAACTATAGAAATTAGAAACCCGCAGATCTTTCTTTTTAATTGAAATAAGATTTCTTATCCGATATCAAATTAAATGAGCTTCTTATGAACTTATAATACATGTATTAATAGGCCCATCTTTATCGATAGCCTCCTTCTCATTGATGGGATTATTCTTTACTAAATAAAATTAGATGAAAATCATTATCAGTTATAAATTATTTGTTGCAATTAATATAAAATACTCGCCATTTACACAACTGCTGGCGTTCTACCGGGTGTTATAGACACTGGACATTGTATGAAAAGAATATAAAAAAAAACCTTGTATTATTCGTAAATTCCCTACTGCTTCTACTACAGGATGTTGTCCCAAACATTCTGCCAAGTTTCATGCACTGAATTATCGAATGAGGTAAAAGTATAGGGTCAAGGACTAGTAAATAAAACATTGTAACTTTGTAGATATAGCTTATAAAAAACTAATTACAAAAATAATTGGGAAAGGAATAGCTGTTCAATTAGACATATTAACTATCTTTTATATATGGAATTGTACGAATATTAATTTTTGATCAAAAGAACTTTAGGTTAAAAGTTAGATAATCACATATAGTTTTGATTTATATAGTTTAGTTGACTGACCACATTCACATACACGATTCCCGATAATAGTGGAATCATAATTTGATAGAATTTATCTTATAGAAGACATTATACCTTCGAATTTATTGAGCCCAGGACTGTCCTGGATCTACAAAAAAAAGGACGTTAGTCAACGTTCGTTAAATAAAACAAAAAAAAGAGTTTTTTCGAAGTTACCTAAGATAAGTTACTTCGAAATAGGAGTCACCTATTTTCAAGAACTAGCATTTTTTTTGCCTCTATCTTCATTATTGTTTTAAAACAGATTTATTTTATTTTCCATCATTTCGTTATTTGCTAATTAGATAGTACATAGAGTACGTTTATAAAAATCGAGGGGTATTAATTTTTTAAGTATATTAGAAACGTCAAACCAGGATTTTCATAATCGTATTAAGCCATCGAACAACTGGTTCGAGATTATTGAAGAATCCTCGCTTTATTCAATCGAGATAATTCGTAATATGTACCATTTCGCTATGCTCACTTCTTATTTTCAATGTGTGTGTTCCTTAATGGATAGGAAGACACACATGAATTGAGTAACGGTATCCCCGTCTGGTGGAGGGCAACGCTCTTAGGTAATCAAAGGTGAACAAAACCCGAACTATCTCTCTGTGTTTTTTCGCTAGCAAGCTGAATACACAACCAAATGAAAATTGTTGTCATTTAATAGCCTTTCTAAATGTTGACTCATATTTACGGCCTGTTGAATTGGCATGAGTTCTTTATGAATTTGAATCAAGCAAAAAAAAGATCGATCATAATGGTTGAATGTGAATTAGGGAAGTTCCGCCCAACCCATTCACTTTGTTCATAATTTTCACAATTTTGTTCCTTTGATCTGGATAAGACCAGAAGAAAAATAAGAGTAAAGATTCAAGGATAAAGATAATATCTCGTGAACATGTGACTCAACAAGTGAACCTCCCTCTGATATTTCTAGAATAATCGGTCCTAAAAAAAATCGGTAGCCGAATCCTCATGCTTAAAAGATAGTTCATATGGATTATCAGTGAGAATTGGAAGCTCTACTGAAGAATTTCTTAATGCTGGATTCAGTGGCGACGGCACAGTGATTCTGTTTTCTTCTTTTCACTGGCATGGTGTTCAACACATTCAAATTAACCAAAGATTCAGTTTCCTTGTTATGCTCTTTATAGTCTCACTCAATACGACTCATTCTACATGAAACGAATAATTATTTGCGTTTAATGATAAGCGATAACGTTAAATTTACAAGTTTAAAGGTAATACTTACTACTAAAAGTAAATCTTTGTCTGCCTATAGTATGAAAGTGATTTGGAATTAAGCTTAATACTAAATGTGAAAGACCAACAATTTCTTCTTGTATTTCACGAATTCTTGCAGAAATCCCTGCCTCTTTCATATCTGCCTTTTTTTCGCATCTATTTTGATCAAATGTCATCACTAGGCTTCACAGTTTCCTACAAAAAATCAAGTTTCGTGAAAATTTCTGGAAAAATGATTTATAACTATAAACTTTGCAAGTTCAATGGTAGGATTTTAGCGGAAACGTATTCCATACACGGGCGTATTTCCCGTAATTCCTGCTACAACCGCCAAATGTCATGCAAAAAAAATCTTAACCATAGGCTGCCCAAAACCCTAAAAAACACGTATACATTCATTGCTTAACATCCTCTTAGTTCCTTTCTCCTGAACCATCCTTTTTGAGCCATTCTAACTTTCGCGTGATTGCTATCCTTGCTGAAGGGATAATTGGACGCGTACCCTTCCTCATAATATTTCAGCGAATTGGCATCGCATCCCAACTTTCACAAAGTGTGGACATAAAGTAGGTCTATCGGTTATCTGTTATTTCTTCAGACTTTCTTGGCAAGTACTATAGCGAAAAACTAAAGGTAAATATTGAATGTCGCGAATTTTATTAGGAAATCAGATGGGAACCATAAAGGTCCCAGTCTCTAATCGCAGCTGAAAAATTGACTAATTAAGTAGTATGGCACACCGCTACGATTAAAGCGAAAGTGCGAAACAACAGAAAAAATAATAATTTTAAAAATTCGTTATTGTATAATATTTTAAAATAATTTTTTAATTCCATTTTATTATTTCATTATATTATATTTACAATTAAGAAAGAATTATTATAAAGAATCAGGAAAAAAAAAAAAAAATTTTTCCATTATATTTTGGTTTTTTAAAAAGATTAATTATAATTTCAGATATTAAGTTTTTTTTTAAAAAAAAAGTTTCGGTTATTAAAAAAAGGTTCGGTTATTAAAAGTTCAAGTTATTAAAAAAGTTCCAGTTATTAAAAGTTCCAGTTATTAAAAGTTCATTAAAAGTTCCATCCAAGTTATTAAAAAGTTCTCAAATTAAATAGTTCAAGTTATTAAAAAAAGTTCGTTATTATAAGTTATTAATTAGTAAAGAATTTTATAAATAAAAAAATTAAAAATTTTTATATCAAATTGACTAAAAAAAAAAAATTGAAATTTTTTTTAAAAAATTATTTATACTATTTAAAATGTTTTTCTTGTTTATCGGAATATTAACTAATAAAAAAAAAAAAAAAA